AACGGTTCATGGAGCATAAAAGTGGATGCACTTCTGAAGAGCCAAGAGAGAGCAGGAAAAGCCTGTGTGTGTTTGTTGGCACTCAGATCAGTAGGGGGAGGACATGGTTGTTGGGGGTAGGTGGGGCAGAAACTCTGCTGGGATGCTTGTCAGGTTGCCACTCCGGATCAGCATATACTGGAAAGCCCAAATGGAACAGAACAAGCAGACAGGCAGGCAGGCAGGCAGACAGGCAGGCAGAGGCCCAACGCAAAGTGGAAAATCTGAAAATCTAAAGAATGCTTGTTGAATGTGTTTCAAGACTCCAATACACATAGCCAAAAAAAGAGGACAGAGAAACCACAGATCTGCACTATATCTTCATACATATATTTATGTATTGCATGGATTTATTTAAAGTATTATTTTCCTGCTCCTCAACCCAAAAAAGCTCCCAGAGCAGTTTAGCTGTAATCAGGAAAATCCCTGTCTTCAGGATGACAACCTAAAAGGCATGACACACAAGGAAAATCAGATGGAGAAGGAAGAAGGAAAAACGTCTTTCCACATTCTGCCGGCATGACCGCTGGTGGTGGCAGCTGAGGGAATTGGAGCCATCCAGGAGGGGGACTTTCAGCAGGGCTGGTGGAACTAAAGATGCCAGTTTTGAAATCATTGTTCCAATCATAATAGAAATGCAATACATCTCAGGGTGCCGATTATCAGCGTGTTTGCTTTGCCTGTTGTCGATGTGCCATCCGATTCAAGGCCCGCTGGCCCTTTATCTTGAAACAAGTCATTCCAACAGAGCCCACCCTCAGACAAAGGACTGTCCTTGAGTGACCCTTCAGATAGCAGGACCAGTAGCCACTTTACACATGCATTCTCATTCATGTGTCCCATAGCCCTGTGGAGCAAGCTAGTGTTGCATATGGAGATTGGAGGCTTTATAAGGCATGTTGCAAAGTACCCTGGCACCCTGAGATGAGGAGTGGTGCATATTTTAAACGGATTGTGGGCTCATCGTTCACAGTACAGCCAAGTGGAAACAGCCTCACGGCCAGGTTGCTTAAAGCCCAGCGGCTGCTCAGCACTCCAAGCTGCATTAAGTGCTTCTCCGAAGGGTGTCCTTCCTGAACTTTCAAGCAGGAGAGTTTGAGGCACCTTCCTGAAAAAAAGCTGGCAAGAAAGCCGGTCATTAGCGGCGGTCCAGACAGTTTAAACATGGTTGTGGCCTGGAGTGGGGGGGGGGGGGGGGAAGAGCTGGGAAGGGGACATTACACAGCTGGCTAGATGCGAACGTTTACCAAACATCCAGGCAAGTATGTTACAAGCCCAGGGATGAAAGCCAAGCTGGTGTTTATCTTGGATAAGAATGGAAGATTTTGGAGAGGACTCCATCGAGCAGCTTTGAAGTCAGAAAGAGCAGGTATGATTCTTTCATTTTATATAAATGAACAGGGGCTGTGTGCCTTTAAGAGCTGCTTGACAAGCAGAAGTTCAAAAGGTACAGCTTTCTTAGTATGCAGCCCGCAGTGGGGTGGGGGGGGGGAGAGAGAAGAGATGGCTTTTCAGGTTGTTTAGGAGCCTTCTCTGCCAGACAAAGACGTAGCAGGTTTAAGGGAGGTACCAGAACAGGTCCAGCTAATCACTGTCTCTCAATATAATCAATCTTGCAGGGTTGTTGTGCAGATAAAATGGAGGTGGGTAGAAGAAGAACCATGAACCCTTGCTTGAGGGAAAAAAGGCAGGATATGCATTTAACTGAAATAAAGACAACTACACACACACACACACATGCAGCCCAAAATTCGTGGGAAGAAAGGCAGACAAGAAACCCAGTGGGCTGTGGAGGTTAGACTGTTGGACTGGGGAGGTGGGAGAACCTACACTTTGCCATGAAACTCAGTAGTGACTTTGGATCAGTCACTCATTTGCAGTCTAACCTACCTTACAGGGTTGTTGTTCTGAGAATAAAATGGAGCTACATAAGCTAACTTGGGTTCCTCACAAGGGGAAAAAAGGGAGGATGTAAGTGCAATGGGAGGAGGAGGAGGAGGGGTCCTTTTTGCCCCAGCAGGGCCATTAAGAGTTCCCACAGCACTACCAGTGAGGGAAGGCAGTGATGAAGGACTAAACACACCCCAGTCTAACTTGGACAAAGGCGCTGGTTGCGTTTAAGCTTTAGCACTGGAGTATCGTGCCTCTTTCAGCTTCCAGACACCACATTCCAGTTGGCAACAGCACGGCTGAAGTCAAAAGGGGGCAAGATCAATGGCAAAAGAGGGTGAGACCAAAATGCCAAATAATACTCGCTTTTCCTAGCTTAAAGCTTTTACTGCCCAGATGTAAGAAGAAGCAGTTCCAGAACAGGGAGAGAACATGCAAAAGCCAGAAATCCCCCAAAATTTGGCAGGTGGAAGAAAAGAGGAAGCAGATGGAGCTAAATAGGGGCACATGCATACATACCCCAGAGGGCCAGAATGTGACCTCATGCAGGTTGGATTTGGTCCACGGGGCTGAGTTTTGAACCCCAGCCTTTAAAATATTTATATAGAGAGAGGGATTCTGTCACAGATCTCCAGCATTATGCTTAGTTTGGCCCGGAGCGTGTGGTGTGGGCCGTGGGGGAAAGGCTGCATGCATGCATGTGAGGACCTTTACAGGCACTTGAGCGCAGCCGTCTGATTTCCCTGAAGAAGGTCTGAAGGCACATGGTAGGTGCAGTTCTGCTGCTAAAATTTGCTCCCATAAAGAAACCAATGGGAGATTATGTATGAACTACTCAGGAGTTTGTTGCAGAAAGAACAGAGTGCAAGAAATCACTGATTTAATCCTACAGCCCTCTGAAAGGACTAAGAGTAAAGTTAGTGCTATTGATTTCAGGGGCTACACTCTTGACTAAAGCTGGATCCCAACTATTATAGAAAGGCTGTCAAAGCAAGGAGCTGCTGGATCATAATTGCATATGTGCTCCGTTTCCTACAATTGTGTAGGCTTTCTTTGTGGCATTTGGGAGAGCCAAGTCTGAGTTCCTACTTGGCTGTAAAAGTTAACGTCTGATAACCGCAGTTTCCTACCTGCAAAATAGGAACGGGCTTACTTCTTCAGGCTATTGTAGAGGAAGACACATTCTGTTGTTCGTGAAGATTTCCCCTCTCTTTTCTTCTTTTCTGTTTATCCTCTCCCATTCGAATTCTCATGATGCCATGAAGTAGGTTAGGGAGAGATAGATCATGAGGCCCTACAAATTCGCATCTCACTGATTTCAAGTTGGATGCAAGGTACTGAGCATGGACATTTCAATGGAAATTTCCAGGGCAGCCCACAAGATTAAAAACAATAAAACATTACATAGTTGTGTGTGGGATGGTAATCCAATAATAAAACAGCGATAAACCCTCAATTAAAAGCAACATAAAAGCCAGCTGCACTCATGGAAACATTTTAAAACAAATTTTGTTCATTGTCTCGTGTTTCATGAAGATGACACAGCAAAGCCACTGATATGTCTGAGTGCAAGTTTGAGACAATGTGTGCATCCGGAGAAGCAAACGGACAGATGCATTAGCAGCAAATGTGGATATGAGCATGTGAGCAAGCGTAGGGTGCCAGCCTGTGTGTTGCAACTTGCAGCATCTGCATCCCACATTCCTCCTTGGAGTTCTCCTCAGACCCCATTGGCTACAGCAAAAGGGGGTGTGGCCTAGATACCCAGGGACAAGGGGAGGTGGAAGTGGGCAGAGCATGAGCAGGACATAAAAGGGGCCGCCTCCCGGCAGTCTATTCCAAGCACCGTGTGGCACCCAGAGGCTCGGAGGTGTGAGTGCAGGGGCTTCCCAATGGCCATCTTGAATCTTTGCACCTCGCTGCTGCTCTTATGCCTGACTAGGGGCAGCTTGCAAGGAGGTAAGTCCGGCTAGTGGTGATGAAAAAGGGCAAACACGGTCTGTGTATAGGCATGAAAATATCAATTTTTGTGTTGGTTTCAGAGGGATGGAACAACTTTCCCATAGTGAAAGTAATGACTGGGGTAATAGATGAGTAATAGAAATTTATGCAATTAGAAAGAGAATCAGAATTTACTGTCTTTCTCCTTTTCTGTATTTCTGTGTCAGTTCCTATCTCAGTTTGGTGTGATTTTGTCCATTGTTAGCTTCTTCTGTTCAATAGTGTTTGATGTGATGTCAGTGAATCTCTCTTCATTTTTTGGAACATGAAACGAAAGAATTTTTTTAAAGCAAGCTTTAAGAAAAACTAAGCTTGGACACGAGAACACAGAGGAAGGTGGTTATGGTGCATGAAGGAACCAAGTTATTAATATTGAGTGATTTTATCTCTCCGTTGCTGTTGGGCTTGCATTTTCTTAGTGCAAGTCTGGTGTTAAATTTCATCAACCCACCATGTTCACTGAAATTCTCAAGAGAAAGAGATGGAAGGATGTAAATTAAGGGAATAAATTAATGGGTAAGTTACCAGGCATGTGAGTAAGGGAACTGTAGCTCCACTGATGGTGATGCAGCAGAATGAACCAGAAGGCCTCCCAGTGCAGGTCTGCCTTACCACATCTTGAAACAAGCCAAATACTATGTATGTCCATCTATAGGTGTAATTCATGGAGCTGGTGTGCTCGATCACAACAAGCACCATGGCTTAAACAAACCATGATGGTTTGTTGCAATTGTGCAAACTGGGTCTGTCCAGAGGATGAAATTTCCTAACTTCCCCAAAGCTTTGAATTTTAGCTGTTGCAAATTTATGACATACACACAGCATGCTTTATGTTTGAGCATAAACATATTCAAGCATTTTCATGGACAAAATCTACTTGTGCTTCTGAACTAAATGGCATCTACTTCTGATGGTTAGGAATTGTGAAGATTACTGATTTCTGTCCCCGAGCTTGGAACAACAGAAGAGCAATTTTTCTTTGAGTTATTCCCCCCCATTTTTAAATTTCAGATGAGGAGGGCAGGATAGTGCTTGCTACATGAATGTAAAAACTACACTGGTTACCGAGTATGCTGCACAAATTTGCAGGTAACCATGTCCATCTCTTCAGAGTAAAGTTGGTGGGGTACTAACTTTTTGGGACTAGTTTTTGAGCTTATCAAATCTCTTTATGAGGTAGATGCTAAGGGGTGGGGACCCAGAAAGTTGGGAAGGAAGAGGAGACAAAACTGCAGGGCAAGATTTTAAAAGCCTAGATCCATATTAAGACTATTAGAGGTATCCTATAGTAAAATTTCTTTATGCTGAGAGATACTCAAGTCGAAGTGATGCTAAAGCTAGGCATGCTACACCCAATAGCCCCTCAGGTACCTTGGGCGTGAGATTGCACTCTTCAGCTGCAATCCTGCGCAAACTTATCCAGAAACAAACCATGCTGAGCAGAATATAAGTTACTTTTGCATAAACGTGCTGCAATTGTGCTTTGGAATGGAATTTGGGAGGTATTATACACGCTAACCTGGAACTCAATACAGTTCACTTCTGAGAAGACTTTCATAGCATTGCACTGCATGGCCTCACTGCAAGCGACCTGAAGGAGAAGCCAAAAGCAGTCCAAATAGTGGCACGCTGAGCAGAGAACTGGAGGTTGGGTTAGATGATCTTCCAGGTTCCTTCCATCCCTAAAATTCTATTATTCCATAATTCACTGCAGTTGACCAGGGAGAGGCATTTGCAAAGGTCAACGGAGACCTAAGCCCACCAGCCCTCTGAGGAGCCAGCCTGCCCTGGGGCCTAAAAGACATGGGTGGGCACGAGGGGTACATCCTATCGGCAAGGAAACAACCTGCTCTAGGAAAGCCTCTCACTGAGAGTGACCTCCTAAGCTTTAAAGCCTCAAATGAAGAGGGAAGGAGGTGGTTCTGCCTGCAAAATGGAGATCTGGAGGCTTATTTCTTCCCTCCCGTGTCCTGGAAATCAATCTAGCCTGACGTTTCAGCTGGATCAAGGACATATCCAGGTAGGGCTGCCTGGCCAAAACCCTGCAGAGCTGCTGCCAATCAGTTCCTCAGCCCGGTGCCCTCCAGATGTGCTGGACTGCAACCACCATAATTCTCTGCTTGGCTGGGAATTACAACCCATGCGAGCCAACAAACATCTGGAGGGCACCAGGCTGGGAAAGGCTGGAGTAAGGGATACTTCAGCGACATGCTCTGACCTGAGTTCCTATGTTGCTGCTTCCGGGGTGGTTAAATCTACACATGGTTTTCAGTAAGGATGGACAACCACAGGTCTCGGCTGGATATCAGATATCAAATCCTCCACAGTTGAGGGGTCCAGATCTCTGACAAGAGCATCCTCTTCCTCCTCTCGCTCTTCAGGTTTCCCATCCCAGCTACTCCCAGTGAGCGTAAGCAATGCAGGGAGAAGAAAATGACGCTAGCAGTGGGCTAGACAGGCATGTGGCTTGATCCAAGGCAGCAATCCCTGCCATCAGTGCAAGGCTATTGCAAAGATGGAAAATGCACTGAAAGGGCCAACCAAAAAAGTCCAGAAGGCAGGAAAACTCCCCGTGAAGAAGATGGTTCTCCTCGTGAAGAACCGCCACAATGGTTTTGTGGTGAGGAGCCAGATTCAGGACAAGAGAGGGAACATCAGAGGACACCTACCTCCCTGTTTGTTTTGGGTTTTTTTCTCATAATTCTAGGAGGAGGCAAAAAAATGCCTCCCCCAGCAAAAAGGGACCAAATGAGGGATGAGAAGAAGCAGGTACTGGGGCTCACCTGTGTGTACCCACTTTCCCCAGGGTGGCTGAATCCCAAATGCCCAGGCTTCCTGGCATCTCAGTCCCAGGATAGCAGCAGGATGACCTCAGAGGGGATGCCTTTGAGCCTGAGCCCTTGCAGGCTGGACTGGACCCTTCAGGTCTGAAGTTGTACACTTATTTTTTAGCTAAATGGAAAGATAGAGGCATATAAACTCACAAGCAAAATCTCCATAATGTTTATATCTATCTACTGTTTTTAATCCCACCTATTCTCTAAGGAGCCCAAGCCAACATAACTCATCTCTGCATGCACATAGTTTTAAACTTAACAGGAGTAGTGAAAAATCCATCCTAAGGGACTGAATTCAATTTTAGAGAAACTGTTGGGGAAGGGTAGGGTGAAAGGATTCTGAAGCTCCTTTGGAAAACAGGAGAATAGACTTTTGGCCTGATCCTGCATGGCTGTTCTTACATCAAGGCATGGTATGAGGACATATGATGCACCAATTGCCTGTCAGGATTAGGTCAGTACCTGGGAAGCCCATGATAACCGCCTAGGGTTCCAGGATGGAAGAAAGGTGACACATAAATCTACCAGTTAAAATGTTATGCATATATGTTAAAATGTTATGCATGGATATGAAAGAACTGGGAATTCTATTCCATGATAAAAATGAAAGTACATCCCTGAAATTGCTTTCTTTCCTTTTCCTTCCCTTTCCTTTCTCTTTTGTATTATATCCATTAGATTATAAGTGCATGGACAGAGACTATCTTATTTTTAATCTTAGAAGATAATGCTCGGAATATAATCATGATGATGCTGGTGCATGTGAGTCCAGACATTGCTGTGGTGTTTCTTGTTAATTTCACATTCATTAAAACTGACAGCAGGACTGTGATCGTGTACAATGCCATTAAAGAGCAGGAGAACTGCAAGCCGAGTTCTTGCTCATGCAGAGGCTGCAAGCCAAGAATCTTTTCGGTCCCCCTGCCCAGCGATGGGAGGGGAGCAGTCGCACAGCCGAGCTGCCCTTTTATGACCCCCGACACAAATCCCTCTCTGGCCCTGATCTACGCAAATAATCCAGCCTAGGTGGAGATGGGAAGTCACACATTTCCTCCTAGGCCTGCATGCCTGTCTGGCACAAATATGCTACATTCCTTCGGTGCCCCTGCCAACCCAGCCCACACAAAGCCCTCCTTAATGCCCTCACCTGGGTGGGGGGCTTGACAACCCCTTGCAAAGTTACCAGGCGGGAAAGCTAGCCAGCTCCCTGTGCCAGGAGACAGGGTGGGTCATGGGTGGGCCAGAAAGCCAAAGTGTGTCACTCTGAGATTAAATAATTCTTTGGCATCAGGGACCCAGGCTTTGAAAGGAGCTTTGTGGAAAGATCCAGACTTGCCCCAATGGACTGGACACCAGCAGGTGGTTTCTACCAGTCCCAAGAGGAGACATTCTCTCTCAGCAACAGGAACAACAAAGAGTCCTTTGGCACCTTGAAGACAAACAGGTTTATTAGGTTCTGTGAACTATGAACCCAAGAAAGGCATACTAAGCCAACCTGTTTTACATATTGATGGTTAGGGTTAATATCTAATAAATATTAGCTTTATGATCTATTTGTTATGAATTCTACTTGCTACCTTTATCTGTGCTGTTATATATGCATCTACAAGCAAGAGGAAAGACATCATCAAAAAGAGGACAAAAGGTGGCATCAATTTGTAGATGGTAATTTATATATATAGGTGCAAATTTAGAAATAATTACTCTAAGTTAAAGTACAATTTTGAACTGGAAATGATTTAGCTATAATGTAAATTAAATAGAATAGTCAAAATAGAATAGAAATACATCTCAGTCTAATGGGACTGCTCAGTCTCAAATTGTGCTCAGCAGCTTTAAGCCTCCAGGCTCTCCATGATTAGAATTATTTATCTTGAAACCAAACATTTTAGAGAACAGCTCCTGCAACTCCCTGCATGCCCCAGCCAGCCAGGGGCATGCTGGGACCAGTAAGCCATTTCCCCTCTCTAGATATGTATAGGATTGTACCCTAAAACACTCTATTATCCCAGACTTATCAAATCTCCAAAACAATCATTTCCACTAAGAGTAAAAATAAATTTGCATTCAAAATGTTTTCTTCTGCCAAGGTTAATTCAATGTTGTCTGAAAGTTCAAATATTTGTCAAATGCATTTGCCAAACATTTGTTATTTGCATGTGTCCTACAGTGCTAGTTGATTACATAATTTGAGATTCAATACTTTATTTCATTCCATTTTACTGTATTGGACAGATGACATGCATTGGGGTGTGGTGTCTGAAAAGCTGTCAGCTTTTACATGGTTTTACTTGATTCCTTCTTACGCCAAAACCATCAGAAAGTTCAAAGCATTCCAGTTTTAGATTTTGAGGTGAAAATACATTGAAAGACTGAATCTAAATTCCATATTAAAAACTGTTCCTTGGACATTTTTATTCCCCCACCCTTTTAAAATATTTCTGCTCCCTACATTCTCACAGCACATATGAAGACGATTCCTTTAGTAGATTAATTTACTCTGTAACACTAGAAAAATTTGGGCAATTCAGGAGTAAAATCATCATAAAAGGACGCTTCTACTATTTCTACCCAAAATTACGATTACATGCTTTAATCACTTAGCTCGGTCAAAATAAAAGCAAATGCATCACCCAAAGAAGAGGACACAGACATCCCTAAAAGGTCCACACACTAATTTAAATAGAAGCCAATTTTTAAATAATGCCTATAATTTAAATAGAAATGCACGTCATTTGGGTGGGGAAAACTGTGGCCAAATAACCTGTGTGCCTTGCTCTGTCTGGTGTCCAGGTGCTTATTGATAAGCAAACTCAAGGCCCAGCCCTTTCTTCTGATCTTTCTTTATCTTTACACCAGACTTCCATCCCTTCAGTTGGTGAGACTTTCAAACAGAGGGCAGTCTTCCCCATCTCACAGAGGACTGCTCCCTGAAAAGTATGCCATTTGGCTGCCCTAGAAGTAGAATGGGGATTGTAACTAATTTTAGTGACTGACAAAATAGAACTTAGGGCAGTTGGTTCTACAATGCAAACTATAGAAAGGGTTTGATTTTTCATTCACTTGACTCCAGTCTCTTTCCACTCCTCTTGTGGGCCTGTTTCAGGAGTGAAACCTCAAGCCAATGGCCGAGGGGGTCTTTACTTCCCATCCCTGGTACAAGGTATGTATTCTCTGTCATTGTCTCCCCACTGCAACACACCTGTACTGAAATACAGTGGGGATTCTGCTTGAAGACAAAAGAGTCCCCATTGATCAAGCCTAACATCAGTGGGTGACTTTAAAGTTGCACTCATAGAAACAGAATTCACTCACATGCATAAGCAATGTCTGGTTGGAAGCATTGCCTCTGAAAGTGCTCCAAGGGCTCAACCCTTGGACATGGTGGTGAGCAACTTCTGGCAGTCCAAAGGACAATTTCCAGCACCAGGATTCTGCTGGAGGCCAAACTCTTGCTTTCACATCACCTACAACAATTAAAAAAGCAAAACAAAAAACAAGCCATTGCAGAAAACCACCACAGAGACTCAGATTGGCTACATTTAGTATGAAAACAAGCTAAATTGGCACTTTGGACTCTCAGTAGCAGTTTGCCACCACATGTTTTGCTGCTTCACCACCGATTGTGTGTGCTAACAAAACAGCAAAACAAAAGGGGAAGGGAAGTGAGGTGTGCGCTTAAGGCCATAGTGGGCCGCATGTTGCCCCCCCTGATTTAACTGACCTCACCTGCCATCTGCATTATGTTTCAAGGAGCTGCCCTCGTTCCACTTACACGGACATATAACTCCATTCCATAGTCAGTACAAGGTTGAGTTCAGCCATTGTGGCTGGCATGTAACCCATCCTTTATTTCTTATTTTAAAATTTGTATAAAAGCCACCTATTAGCATAATGCTCTCCTCCTGTTAGGTGCAGGAGGAGCTGGACTGGGACCAGCAGGAGCCAAGGCCGGTAAGTCTTGTGAGAAGAAGGGTCCTTTCATTCCTAAAGGCTGAATAAATTAAAATTTGTTGTCCCCAAACAGTGGGATGTGTTCCCACAAAATGAGGATTGGCCCCCACTCTATTGGCCTTTTAAAGGATGTGAAGGTGCATCTCTTCAGTGTATAATTTTGGCATCGTTATTCTTTCTAGGACACAATCCTATGCATGTTTGGACAGGAAATCGAGGTACAATTCCCAGCATGCCTGTAGTAACCACGTTGGCTCAGGCATGCTGGGAGTTACGGACCTTTTTTCTGTCTAGACATATAAAGGATTGTGGCTTTAATGTTCTTGCCCGTATTGATTTAAAGGTTAGGATTAAATGTTCATAAATCAGCCTGAAGGTTTCTTTGCAGATGAAGCAGTATGTTAATCATAAAACTAAGGAAGCAATCCTATGCATGATTAGACAGAAAGAAATAGCCTGGGAATTAAGGGTTGTACCTTGACTCACTAAATCCTTGCTTTGGCATTTGCCCATGATTGTCATGCAGTACTTCAGAGAGAACATAGCTGGACTGATTTTTGGAAAAGAAGCATAATTTTCAGTTTGGCTCTTCTATCAGTCCAGTGGTATAACAACTCAAAGATCCAGGACTGGCCCAAGTCATTCTGTTTCCAAGATAAAAGGATAAAATGCCCCCCCTCCACCTTCCCATATACTGAAACCAACCGCTACCTAGATAGACGTGGCAGGGCAATGCGGAAAAGTGGTCTAAGAATAGGTTAGGTCCTCTTGTCAGAAGCTGGCTTGCTAGAGTCAAGGCAAGAATCCCAACAAAACCGTTTATTGCAGTAATTAGTCACCAGCATTTAAAGTCTCCATGAAGTTCCACAGAAACAGATTACAGCACATTCCCAGGCAAAAGTCTTCTCTGAACACAACAGAAAAGAGGGACTCAGCCAGAGCGCAGCCCCCGGAGTGCGTTCCATTGCATTCATCGTGCCAAAGAAGGAGGGAAGCTTTCCAGGTTTTGACTGCGCTGTCTCCTGCAAAGGCTTCTGGAAGCTGCAACAGGTTGAATGCAAGGGAGCAGCTGCACAGGGGACCCCAGCAAGGAAACCTGTCCCTCAAGAAGCAGCTGCTCCCCCACACCGGGCGTTTCTGCACCTCCATCTTGTGCTAACAACACACCAAAGGAGACACCCTTGAAACTCCATTCCCTGCAGAGTCCTCCTCCTGCTGCCCCATTCCCAGAGATGCTGCCGGGCTACAGGGGATGCCATCAAGGCCAAGTCTTCTAGCTGTGCAAGAGCGGCCACAGTGTCATACCTTCTCTTTCACCAGTCAGTGAGAGGCCTGGCAGAACTTAATTTTCAGGCCTCCAGTTTCCCACCACTGGGACCCAGAAGTGTGGTACATTGGCTGGTCCCTGACTACTTACCTTCACAGCAGCCCTGTGTGGTAGGATGGGTATGACAGGCCCAGAATCACCCAGTGAGCTTCATATCAGAATGGAGGGCTGAATCCTAGTCTCCTTGGCCCACATTGTAATTTAAATTATGGAACATTTTATGCATAAATGAATGTCATAATGTGCAGTACAGCTCCTTGTCCCTCCGTTATTATCTCTTCCCTGTCCTGGTATCACCTCTGCTTTCTATCCCTATAGGAAAGTATCCTGCTTATGGGACCCAAGGACTGTCCACAGGTTTGCGTAAGTGTAGCTTTGAGGCTGGAATAAATTTCAGGGGAGTAACATTATCGGTCTGTCTGGCAAAAGCTGCCTGAAACGGAAACATTTTCTTTTTGTGTCCCAAACACTTGTGGAAGCCGAGGTCTTTTCTGTACATGAGGTGGCAGAAGCGTTTGCACTGTTTTGAGGCCAAGCAGCTCAACACCATTTTGAATGCTCCTCTTGCATGAACAACAGGCTGCAAAGTGAAAGCAAGAACAGCAAGGTGTGGGGACAAGCAGAACCTTTCCTGCTGATATTTGGCTGTTGCAGTTGCTTGTGCTTCTAGGGAAGTTTGTAACGGGGATCCAGATTTAGTCACCCTTAGAATTAGCCACAGCTCCAAAGTCAGTGAGGCACTGTCTCCACTCTTGAGTCTGAATTTCAAAGGTGCTGTCCATGGTAAGTATATTTGAATACTTTGAATAGGCCAGCTTTGGCTACATCTCGATCCAGCCCTGTGAGTGCATTTTCCCACACTGGTAGTGGAACCATCCATTCAGAGCCCAGGTCTCTCTCAGAAAGGAATTCATGGATGCTACCCACGGGCACCTTCCTCCAAAGAGCTCAAGAGCATTGAACCTGAATGGTGGAGTTGGGCCCAGAGCTTCCCCTTGCTAACTGCAACACCGCAGTGGATCTCACGGGCTTTTCAGTGGCTTTTCCTGCCCCTCTACTGGCAAATATATCACAACCCATCTAGCACCGTGGAGAGATGGGATGCAATGTTTTGAGATGGCCTTTTAGATACACTCAAGGGACCTAGAAATCGGTTAAGGTGTAATTTTATGCCTGTTTAGACAGAGAGAACATGCTGGCAGTTGTAGGCTTTTTCCTGTCTAGATAGGCATAGGCTTGCTTGGACTCTCTTACCCATCATAACCAAATTTTACTGTGAAAAGATGGCTTGGGGTGGGGGTGGGATTCCATACCCCTCCCTGTAGCCATCTTGTCTTTTGGCTTTCACCCCTCTTTATTTCTGCCCTTGCAGGGATTTAGAACAGATTTGAGCCATTGGAGGCAAATCGGGGAAGCAGAAAACAGCCAGGCCCCAACCCTGGCAGGATGGGATCCTCCATTTGTCAATGGCACGGGTGCTAACTTATGCCTTGTACAGAATGTGGGTAGGATGAGAGACACCTTGTAGTCTCCAGCTACTTTCCCCACTATGGGCTGCTCCAGATTTGATGGGCAACAACTCCCATCATCCTCTGGCAAAAGGACACAGGGGTGATGTGAGCTGTAGTTGAACACATCTGAAGGGCTCCTTGTTGAAGAAGCCTGCAATTGCCTAAAGAGAAGCTACTCTGTATTCACTGATGTGCAACTGTGAATACACACTCTCTGTCTGTTTTAACCCATCTCTGTTCCATACTTCTCCCTGCAACCCCAGGTTATGGCATCCCAGCTGGATATGGAGGAGCAGGTATGATGGCCACTCTTGCATGCTTCAGTAAGGCATAGATCTGTGTTTCCTTGTGCCCACCCCGTCCTCCAGGGGAAGGAAGGAAGGGTGAGCTCAAGCTGATACTACATTGCAGGAAAAGGTGCAGAAGAGACCAATTGAAACAATCAAGGAGATGAAACACCTTCTTTAAGAGAAAAGAAAAGCTAAGGGGGTCACTCCATGCATGTTTAGACAAGAAAAGGCCCTGATCTCCAGGACTGCTGATTGGGGAACGCTAGGAGTGACAGGACTGCTTTCTATCTACACATGCCTAAAAGCGCAAATTTTCATTTCACATGCATGCAATTTGTAGGCAGAAGCTGTGAGACAGCTTAGATGGTTTCAGAAGGGGAAAGGACAGATTCCTAGAGGACCATATTCACACAAAAGGGGGAGTGAAGAAAATTCTGGAGAGCTGCGGCTTTGGCAGATGGAGCAGCTCGCTTGGATACGCAGCCCACTGGCTCATCTATGCTTCTTGCTGGCATAATGTGGCCACTTATGATTCACCCAAAGAGATCAAACCAGTCTCTGGAAAGGAGGACAAGGATTTGAATAACATTTACATATATAAATGTATATGCATAGACACAACTTGATAAATAAAAATTCTAACTTAAAAGAAATACCTTACATCTCCCACAGCGTGGAAGGCTGCAGCCTAAGTGTTTTGCTCAGTCTGCTGTTCACGTACTAACTCCTGAGGGGCGACATTTCTGAAATGTTATTTTCAAACTAGAACTGGAACAGTTCTTTTATATTCAAAGATAATCAAGCCCTTCAAACAGAGAACCCACCCTCTGTAAAGGCGAGTACATGCTGCCCCACATACAGCCACAACAGGCTAAACCAGGGTGAGGAACTCCCAGGCTACCAGCAGGATTAGGCCCATGAGGTCTCTGCACTTAGCCTGAGGAGACCCTGCCCTAGAATAATCCTCTTTGCCAGAAGAGGTAGGCAAACGTCCGTCACCTTTTCCCACAGCAGGGATGCAGAGTGGATTGTCCTCTTTGTGTGAATGGGTGTGTGTGATAAAAACTATGTTGTGTAGGAATTAGGTAAATGGGGAGTGTGTGAGAGAGACGCACACACAGACAGAGACTGAGAACAGTGGGCATATGCCCTTCAAACCCTAGGCATGCCCTACCAGCATACAGCCTGCAACAGGCTTCACTGGTAGAAAACTGGCCTTGAATCTAAGAAAATGTTCCCCAGCCAGAGATAAACCAGAAATTGTTTGGCTTACTTGGCTTGTTGCTCCCTTCACAAAGTAGAACTGTAAGTCTGAGTTTGTTCTTGGTTGACGGTGGTGATTGAAAAGAGCCTGGGTTCACTTCTTCCCGTCTGCTTGCTGAGGAGGATGTAGTAGCAGTCATGGAGGAAGGGTTGGCTTCCTGGAAAGCCAGCCCTCTGATATGCGGTCAAAGCACACACCCCCACCCTTTTTCCGTTCCTTAGAGGATTTGGTGCTTCTCTCCCATGTTGGAAAACAGAAGCCAGGTAACTATGAACAGCACAGAGGGATGCCGGAGGCAGTCTTCCCGTGGTTTACAACCAGAAAGATCTCAAGAAAATTCTTCTCACACCAGATGTCTAGCCATTTCTAAAGATGGGACATACTGGTTTAAGCTAATCTGCGAAGCGAACCCTGAGAAATTTTGCTGCCTTAGGCAGAGCAACAAATGGTGTCTTCTCTCTCCCAAGTCAGTGTATGTGGTATGCAAGACTGACTGAGTTATTTTCTCATGTGAGACAGAAAGGCCCCAAAGCACTTTCCCCATTCCTGAAAGTAGAACACAACAGCAACTGATCAGACAACTAACCATTTACTGCCCTTCTGTGACACCCAATATCTGCTACCTGAGGCGGCTGCCTCACTCCACCTTACAGTAGGGCCGCCCTGGCCCGGCTGAGAAATCTGTTGAACCAGGCAAGTGAATCCTTCAAATGATGGCCATAAAATACATGACGTTTTAGTTATTTTAAGTATCATTCCGATTTGAAATGGGAATCTGAGAAAGCATTTTTATTTAAATCCTAATATATTTATTGCTTAAAGGCCAAAATGGTGTGATGTTTCTATTCTGTTGTCATTCACAATGCATCTTTGTGTTGTGGTCTTACAGGTTACAGAGGTCTTGGTTACCCTCGCGCTGGCCTCCCCTTGGGAGGTAAGTATCCTCTTAACACATTTATGCCTTCCTTCTGTCTCTTGTTACCTGTTTAAAGGTACCTCACTTAAATCTTGCACTGTTTTCTTTCCCTCTTAACATTCCAAAGGCTTAATGTACCCTGCTTCAGTATTCCTTTTAAAAAGAATAAAGAAAAAAACATGCTTGCCAAGCCTTTCAACAAACTGAGAGGCCCACTAACTGACCCAGCTCCATTTCTTGGCAAAAACATCTACCCTTTGCTTATTTTACCTTTCAAAAAAGACTTGGCTGGCCTTGTTCGTTTCAAGATCTTGGGGGTAAAGTCCTATAATGACTGGTTTCCTGGACTCTGGACACTGGTGTGTTTTTCCATGCTTTTACATTAAAGTTTGGTATTTGTTTTTGGTTTTTTTAATCATAAAATTATTTTTTGATGTCTTTTGTTGTGCCCGTGTTAATTCCATGGTTCTCCCTCATACGTTTGGCCCAAGTCAGCTTAACAGTGACTGCACAATTACACACAAACCAGATTTTACTGTTTGGGTTTTTTTCTCTTTTAAATCCCTCTTTACCAAGCTAGACTCTCTATATTTTGGTCTCCAATCTTTGTAAAAGTCTGTCCCAATTACTGTCTTTTGGGAATGCTTTTTTCAAATATTGTTAGTGTGAATTGCTCAAAATACCATTTTTAGGATTTTAGCTCCCACATCAAGATCTATAGCAGATATTCTTCAGAGCAGGAGCTGTAGTAAATTTATCTTGGCTCAGATTTAGTCATACTTGGAAGAGTCCTATTGAAATCAGTGGGATTTTTGTTAGTTATGCTTTAATTATATCCTATCAGTTTCAGTTAAATCTACCCAGGCTCATGCTGGGAGTTGAAGGCCTTTTTTCTGTCTAAATGTGCATAGGATTGTGTCTTAAAACAACTTGCTTCTAGCACATGTGCCTGTACATGAACAGTTAAGGCAACACAAAGCACATGGCGTGGAGTTTCATTCCCTGCAGCTTCTTAGATATACTTGGCCTCTAAGATAAATATTATCAGACTTATGTGCTTGCACATTCTAATTCTGAGCAACGCAACGAACTGTGTCTTGAGCATTAAATTCACAGAGGACACACTATAGTGGAGTAAATGGAAAACAAAGCACAACTTCTGCAATGAAAATTGGGAGCTTTACTATAACACAGGCAAAGCAACTATGAATGTATTTTTATCTGTGTAAGGTTAAAGGTTTGTGGCAAAGATCTTAATCAGGGCCATGTATATGTTGTAATGACATGTCAGGCAGAAAATGAATCATCCTGAAATGTCTGCTTTCTTTTAAAAAAGAAAAAAAGGGCAAGCTTCTGGTCCATAATGGCTGTAAGCACGTACACTTTCAGGAGCTAAAAAGAGGCTCAGTAGGATTCTCAGTGCTGCCACAAAACAAGGCTTAAGTACTGTACATAGCTCTTTACTCTTCACCAAGATTGTTGGAAACAAATTGCCGTGAAGTAAGCAAATACATGCAAATATACTTGCTGAATGGATACAGGTCACTGAATTCAGGTTTTCTAAATAAAGGGTTTGGGGTTTTTTTCATGTAAGTTATAAAAACCTCCTGCTAATCTTTCAGGCTAGCTTTCCGGCCTGACTCATTCACTTTCATGTCATCCCGCAGGACTTGGAGCAAGAGGAAAGCCTTCCAAAGCAGGTAATGTTTCTGCGGCCATCACATTTTCCAGCAGGCTCTTCTTGAAACACCTGAGAGCTCCAGGTTTTTCCATTGCATCAAGGCTATGCTGTTTGTGCATCACAGTTCCATTCATGCACAGAATCATCACTTGTAAAACATTTGCTGGTGTTTTAAAACAACAGCAAGTTTCTCGACCATGAAGTCCACCTGCTATATCCTGACCTGTCATAACTAGAAATGCATGTTCCTCTCTAACCAGGGGTGGTGGAAAAGATCCAGGGCTCAGGCCCACAAGACAAAACAATACCAGCAAATTTGGATCTAAGGTTTCTTTGTGCTTCTTTAAAGGGCCTTGTCTTCTAAGGACAACCTTATCTGTAAAAAGGGATGCAGGAACAGAAGAGAGGAGGGCATCTGATTTCAGAAAAAAAAAGTCAAGCAGAAGGATGGAGGGTGCAGGAATGAAGCACGTATGGGCAAAAAGCCAGCTCACCCAGGAGAAGCAGATGTGACAGGATCCCTGTACCTGTCCTCATGGACAGCAAAGTTGTAGGGCAGATGGGCTCCCCAAAGATTTGGGGCGCCAGCACTAGAGGGCCACTTCAAGATATGGCTCTTGTCTCCAACCCAGCTCTACTCCAGTCTGTCCTACCATTTCCCTCCCTTGCATCCTGAGGGTCTGCAGAGCTGCTCTTTCCCCATTTCTTTTCCTCAGCCATGTTCCCCCACAGAAGACGCTCTTTCTCATCTGGCACTTCTTTTCCCGCCAGCTGCTAGGGATGTCAGGTTTTTGTTTGATCACTTCCATTTGTGTTTCATGGATTGGCAGGCATCTTCTTTCTATTGATTGCTTCTTGATGGAATTAGATTCGTTTGAGGGGTTGTACAAGATGTTTGCCCTACTTACACACGTGTGCATCAGCTACACATTAGTATTAATGTGCCTTATCACAGGGCCTCAAGAACTGTAAGACTGTGACAAAGTCTGCAAATTTGCACAGTCCATGTGAGTCAGAAGCTCACCCACTGTGGAATCTACATGTCTGATTCACAAAAATACAAACTCACTTGAATCCACTGTGGATTTCTCCATCATAGGCATAGCAGCAGAATAAATGTCCATATTATGTGAACACCATTGTGTGGGGAAAGTGTTCAGCAAAGGCTTTTAGTTTCCACTGAGCAACTGTTGATGCCATTTGACATGCTTAGAATTTCAAACTTAGGCTAAGAAAACAGTATTTCAAATTTGTAAGAACATAGCTAGTTTGGCCAAACTCAGTTTTGAGCTGATCTAGAGAGAATATCACAGCCTTCACACAAGCCCTACACCCATGTTGGTTTATGCAAAGATAATGGTATCTGCCTATATTTCTCTCTCTAAGCAGGTTATGGGGCAGGACCCAGTGCTGCTGGCTACCAAGCAATAGGAACACAGCAAGGTGAGCTAGGAGAAGCTATTCACAGCTGTTAGAGTGTCACTGGGAGTTTTAGAAAGGATTTGTCCCTCCAAAGAGAAGTGATGGAGCTCATCTATGTTTGGAAAATGCAGGGCCAGCCCTCTCATTAGGCAGAGTGAGAAAACTGCCACAAGTGTCAGATGCCATAGGGCAGCCATGAACGCTTCCTGTGGACATCACAGCTGCATATGACACAGGTATGTTATGGCCCCTAAACTAACCTGCTGCCTCAGGTATCACTGGTGTTGAAATAAGATTCAACCAACAGTCCAGTCAGCTTCTGAACAGCTACCATTTTGTCCTTTGACACAGGCAGCAAAATGGCTGGAGCTGGTCTGCAAAACAAATCTTCTGTCCTAGATCCTCTGTCCCCTATGCTCCTCATTAGTATATGAAAGTCACTCTAAACTTGTTCAAAAGCAATCTCTTATTATTCTGCATATTCAGGGGAAACTGGTGATCTAAGGCCATGGTTTAAATAGCCTTGTCCAACCTGGTCACTCCAGGTTTCTTGAACTGCAGCTCATGAAATCCCCCAGCATAGAGTGCCTAGAAAAGAGGATGGCAACCTGGTACCCTCCAGATGTTTGGGATTATAATCTCTATCATGCCTCATCAGTGGCCATGCTAGCTGGAGTTTCTGCCAGTGGTTGACTGAGATACTGGGAAAGCACCAGAATGGGAGAGCTAGGTTAAATTATGATATAATAACCTTAAAAAGTCACACAGGATCAAATCCCAAAGTGGCCAATCAGATGTCCCAATGGGAAGAGTTTAAGCGCAACAAGCAGCATCTTGCTCCAGGGCATGGTAAGAAAAGGTGGAAGAAAAGGGGCCCTTTCTTTATGTGTCTGATCTTTCTGTTTTTCCATGTCTTATTAAACAGTGTATCCAGGTGGTGTTGGAGCTGGAGGCTACCCAAGCAATGGCCTCCAGAATGGATTTGGCAACGGTGAGAATAAAAACCCACCCAGAAGATCAGGCTGCACTGGGTCAGAAGCAGTCGCGTATAGTTGGGGACAGAGATGCCACTGGCTTTGGTACAGTCACTGTGCCGGCAACGGAGAAACAACATCCAATGCTGGCATGCCAAAGAACCCGGAGTCAGTGCCTTCTGCTTTTGGTCAAGGGACCCAGGCAGCAGGCCATTTGGCCTAGTCCATGGGAACTGAAACTCTTTTAGCCCAAAAACCTGAGTCAGCTTCAAAGAAACTCTGAGGAGCTACCGTTCTGTGGTGAGCTGGGCAAAAGGAGTATGGCCAAAATACCTTATTTTAGCTTAAAAGTACTTCCTGCCAGCAGCTAAGCTGTGAAGAAGCCATTTCAACATTTTAGAATAACGGAAAGACTGCATAGAATCCAGGAAACCATCCCATATTTGGTGGTCAGGAAAAGGGGTGGGAGCATCTGCAGGAATCCTAGGAGACCAGATTGGTGCCCCACGTGGGCCAGATTTGGCTTACTATAATAGACAGTACTGGGCCGGGTGGACCAGTGCTTTGTCTTGGTACCTACAGCAATTATTTATGCCACGCTGCTATACAAAATTTGCCTCGTTAGTGCCCTGTCTGTTCCCTCATACTTGCACATCAGCATCACATGGGGTCAGCAACACTTATTTGTGCTTTTCACAAAGCCAGTCCCAGTTGTTGTTCCCTGCAAACTGTGAGCCTCCATTTCTTTTCATGATACCAGTTCAAAAAGTGAATACTTGTTGGGCTTCACTTGCAGCCATGAAGAAATGCAACCAGTAGGTGGGGCTGTTGACTGACATATATATAGAGAGAGAGGGAGAGGGAGAGAGAGAATGAGAGTGCCCCTGGAAAGGTTATGGCAGCATATTCTTCCCCTGGATCTATCTGTTCCACAAGGACTGTTTTACTCTGTAGAGAAGCCTTCTCCAATCTGGTGTCCTTCAGATGTCTTGGCTGACAATTCCCATCAGCCCTAACCAGCAGAGTCAATGGTAAGGGATGATGAGTGTTTTAAGCCAAAATAGTTGGAGTATCAAAAGTCACCCATCCCTAGGGTAGAGGGTACTGGGTTCAGTTTCCAGCTAGTTTGGGCAAAATCACAAAGAACTAGTGTCTCTTTCTTTTCCAGGCTATGGAACTGGAGGAAATGGGTTTCCCAGTGCAAGATCTCACCCAGGAGGATACGGTAACGGTAATGGTAAAGGGTTCCATTAATTTAGTTATTTCTCTTCTTCCTTTGAGTTGTATTTTAGCACAACAACCGTGTAAGGTAGGTTAGGCTCAGAGATGGTTATTTGCTCAAGACACGCAGTAAAGTTTTTATCCCAAGTCTAAATGCAATACTACATTTCATTTCCTTTGTTACAGCTCTATATGATCCAATAGTCAAAGTATCCCAGCCTTGTCTGCAGAAATTAAAATCTTAAACATCCAATGTTGTACATAATATAAAATCCATGTATATAAAAGTTACTGCTAATGACAGTAACTAAGTCTTAAGGGAGGCTTTTCAGCCTCTTAGAATGAGGAGAAAACCCTGTACAAAACCTGGGAAACCACCGTGATCAGGGGCGGGGGGGATGGATCCCCCAGAGGGTTATATACCCCCCCCCCGAGGTTTTCCAACCCTGGCCTTGATTGACATTCTGACTTGATCTACACTGCACACATTCCCATGAGGTCCATGTCTCGATCTGTTAGAAAAGCATCAAAAGCAGCATGTGCATTCCTGTGAATAGATTTGGATCTGGGCTGCAGCACTGGAGTGGGAAGGGTCAGCTCCGGGATAATTTCCTGGGGTAGTTGAAATTATCCCCTTGGGGCTCTCTTTGCCCCATGGTACAAATCATAGCTCCAGAAGAAGGGGGAATTTGCATCAGCCATGACACAGTGGTAAATATGATTAAACCTTCTCCTTCTGCTGTGGCTCCAATCTGAATCAATCTAGCCCTTCCTCTGAAGCGGCTTTTGCCTTTAAAATGTAGATCTGATCCTGGTTCTTTGTCTTGCCTAGTAGCTCTTCCCACCCTCACTCAACTGCTACCTGTTTCTGAGGAATGGAAGGTCTCTGTACTATTGCAGGTGTGTGTCTTATTTGCAGGTGTTCAAGCTCCCTATGGCAGTCAGTTAGGAGGACCTGTTGGTGATTCTGTGGCTGCCAAATATGGAGGTGAGTCTTTAGGCCAGGCTATTAAAAGAAGAAGCAACTTTCAGCCTGGTGACCTTCTTGCCCAGCTTGAAGAGAAACTGAGCCAATTTGCAGCGTGCTTAGTTTGAACCAGCATTGGGAGGTAGAGGAGGAAGACTGGGAGAATATGCCTTCATTGCCACCTGGATGGCTTTGGATACCTCAGCCAAAGGTGAAAGTATCCTAGGCATACTAGTTACATTACAACTTTATATTGGCGCTATACCTTTTTATCTTACATGGCTTCCTGCAACAAATTCTGTATTTGGCCAATGTGATAAGAACAAATTCTTCTGTGGGAGAAACCCAGATTTTCTAGCACCACTTTGCCAACCTGATGTTCTCTAGAGATTTATTCGGCTTCTATTCTCATAAGCCTCAGCAGGATGGCCAATGATCAGGAATGCTTGGAGCTGTAGTCCAAAGCTTCTTGAGAGAGGCTTTCCGAGAACTCTAGTTCCCTCGAGAGAAAGAATGGCCAAGTAGGGTGCAGCCATATACTTGGGAATAAGTACCACTGGACCAAATATCTACACAGAAATAAATTCCATGAATTCAGTTGCTCGGTTAATCATTGGAAATATCAGTGTACAGTACCAATGGAGAATAATTTGCAGATTTGCCTTAATTTGTGAGAAGGATGGGTGGCAAAACAGGGGAATCTTACCGCTAACAGTTTTCCATTATCCTTCTGTGTCACAGGGGCAGGGCAGCTCCCCTACAGTGGTCAACCACATCAACCAGAAGCTGCTGGCCTAGGAGGTGATTACAGTGCTGGAAGATATGGTGAGCTGGGAAACAAGGTGGCTTGTGGTTGCTCTGCTTTAGTCTGCACCAAACCAAACCAAACCAAATCGCCTTTCACACAAGTGCTGCTAGGTGTTTCCTGCCTACAAAATCCACATCCAAATCTTTGCAACAACTCATTTTCTTTGCAGGCGATGTAAAGGTGAATTGCCTTTCAGTGCCCTCTTATCTATGATCAGTATTGGGTGATAATAGCCACAGCAGCTTTCAGGCTGGACGGGGAATCCCTGTGTGCTGAAGGCTGCTTGTCCCTGTTATAAACCTGCAGATGGTCTGTGAAGATATCCTTGAAAGTATGTGAACAGAAAGGATGCTGTCACCAGTGGAGGGGGTGGGTGGCCCTTACATGCTTAATGTGTATATTAACCTTAATATGCTTTATTACCATCATTAAGAGAAGAACTGTTTATGCAAAATAGGGCATATGCATGTAAATCTTTTTTAATTTGCATAAAACATACAGGATGCAGAAATCTACTTTTCTGGGCATGGATTTTCATTTCTCTAGCATGCTCAGTCCTGGTTGTGGATGGTTGAATACCACATTTAAATTCACACCAAATGCAGATGGTTTCTCCAGGACTGGAGTGGCATTGGAGAAGGAATTGGTTTTAGTAGTGTGGTTAATACTGTCCCCTTGGCCTTCCCCTCCTCTTCCTTTCACACCTGCTAGGAGCTCTCTAAAGCCACTTATGGAGCCCAGTCTGGAGGTTCGGGTTAGGGGAATGGTCCCCCCTTTCTCCTCCTTTTGCTACCTCACTGTAGCAGATCAGTTCCAGATCATCTTTGGTTGGCTTCTACTTCTTGGTCTTCCTCTTCCTGATCAGCAATGCTACTGGAGCAACTATCTCCTGGTCTAGTTAATTCCAGCTTTCTTTGCCTAAGGAGTGAAATTGACTAGACCACACCACTGTTGCTTCCTAAGATCTGCTTATGAGGAAGGCATCTTTGCTTCCACATTGGCAGGATCTGTTCAGGAAATGACAGGCTGGGCTGTTAAATTGCAGGCAACCCTGCAACTGAAGCCAGTGCTGAAATTACTGAGATTTCTGGTAAAGGATTATGGGACAAAGGGCAAAGGTTTCAGGCAAATGTGAAACCAATGGTGCCTCCCTTTTTAGAAATTAAGCCCCTGTTTCTTTGCCTCTTTTACAAAGGTGGGCCACAACTTGGGTATGGATCACTGCCTGGTCGGACACTAGGACTAGATGGTAAGAAATCCTACTTTACCGAGTCTGGGGTAGGAAAGTGGGCCAAGGAGCAGATCATTTCTAGAGAAAGGAAAGTCAGGGAACAAGTCTGCCTGAGAGTCGCAAACTGTTTGAGGGCTAATTGTGGATTGTTCGTTAGTAACAGAGGAAACACACTATGTTGGTCAGAGGCATTGTTTTGCTGAACAAACTGGTCAGTTACACTTACAGCTTTTCAATTATAAAAAATTATTCTTGGACATGTCTCAGCACTGAAGCCTTGGCCCTGAAAACAGCTCCCACTCCTCAAATTCCAGAGAGGTAGCCTGGTTAATTTGTTACAGCAAACACAGAGAGGGAGCACCTGGTGCATTTAAAGAGGGAGGAGGATGTTTCCAGATGACAAACCATCATTCATGGAATTTTACTGGAGGAGGCAGCCAGGTGATGCTTCCAGTTGTAACTTTCTTAATAATGCCCTTCTGCCATGGATAGATAAGACAGACACACATAATGGACAAGTTTTGCACAGAGATCAGCCTCTTGAAGTAAAATTAAGTCTGATGTTATACATTTTTTATTCAAGCAAGATCCAGGTTTCCTGTCCCACTAGAGGTGTTAAATCAGTTCTTCTAGTGGAAGAGGAAGATTGTGCTCTTGACTGAACCTTAAATTAAACTTAATTCTAAGTTAGCAATTTCAACTTCATTCTTTCCACTATTCAGGAGAATAGTGACTTTCATGAGGCAGCAGAGTATCCAAGGAGACTGAAATATTGTGTCTCTAGATTCTGAATGGTGTCTGCCAAATATGTTTCTGTTTATGCTTAGAGGTTAATCTCTGCAAGAATTGCTTGCCCTAAACAGGACATTCTTAGCAACTAGTGGCACATATCACACTGGAGTATGACAGTGCTCCAGGATTCTGGCCCCAGGGATTAGAACCCATGAAGTGAAGGGAGACCAGTGACTGTGAGTTTGGAGAGGTCTTTTGTGCTACACTCTCCACTTCTCCTTCTCTGCTTCCTCTTTCCCCTTCAGGCAATGGAAACGGGATGGGATATATGAATGGTGGAGACCCCCAAGCTAATGGGCTAGGGGCAGGTAAGACTGAGGGTGCAAAAAAAAAAAAAACCCTCCTTCGCCCTCTCCCTCTCCAATAAAATCCCACCTACTGTCTAGGCAGAGTACAGAGTAGCTCTTGCTGGGACTGGTGTGTGTGGGAGCAACATCTTGAACCAAAGTGCCTTCACTGTGCTTTCACTGCACTTAGATTTCGCCTTTCTTTCACTTGCTTGGCAGGTGCCTATGGTCCCCTTGCAGTTGGACAAACACCAGGAGGGTATGGCAGCCCACTAGGACCTGGACGGGCACTGGGAGCCTACGGTATGTGGCACTAGATTTGTCTGCTCTTCCAGCAGCGGGAAGGGGTGCCTCTCCAGTCCACAGTGGCTGAAAAGAAAGCATTTTCTTCCCATGTTCCTTGTCTCTTACCTAGGTGCCCTTAATGAGAAACCACAATTAATCTGAAACAGTTTATTGAGACTGGTAGCCGGTACAATCTTGTTCCTATCACATTGATCACCTATGTTACCTTTATGTTATTGATGACCTGCTTAGCCTATTGACTTAAAACCATTTCCTGCAGTTTTTCTGAATATTAATAGACCTATCCTCTAGGGCTCAGATGGGGAACTTATCTACCTCTGGATGTTGTTGGATTACATCTCCCATCATCCCTGACACTGGCCTCTTAATTCCCATCCACCCCAGTCAGCAGGCTAATGGCTATGGATGATAGGAATTGCAGTCCAAATTTTTGCCCTAGAAGCTCACAGTCTAAGAACTTCTTGTTTCCCAGCTCTGTGAAAAACTAGTGATAACTTTAAAGCCCTTAACAGCGTTGAACTAGGTTACCATCCATTCACATAAATAACCTTCCCAAGCTTCAAGGGCAGTCCTGCTCTCTGTTGGCTCTCACATGAAAACAGATGAATGGGTACAAGAGCTGGGGCCTTTTCAGCCGTGGTACCAAAACTCTGGAGTGCCCTCTCTGTGAACATCTTCCACAATCCTTTGTCTTCCAGTGGATGTGGAAGGTACTAGGGTAAGCAAAGCTGGTCTAGAAGGCTCTGCCCTGCCTCCTGCCTGTTTATGGAGTTCTCCCAACCTGGGAAGTTCACCCAGCAACTATTTTGCTTAGAGTTAGCTCAAGAAATTCTGCTTCTTGTAGAAAACTTTCTCTACAACTTTCTCCTGTTCAATATACAGAAACTGAGATTATTTTTCACACTGGCCTGAATGGGATAATATCCTCCAGTGCATCTGATGACTGCAGGCTAGCTTGCAGATGCCGAGCTCAGGCCTGCCCTTCAGTACCTTGCCACTCTCTACCATTTGCTGCCTGTGGCAGCTGGCTCACTCTGCCTAACGGTAGGGAAAGCACTGACTTTGCTGTCATCTTAGCATCCAACAAAACCCTTCTTTATTTTCCCAGGCTTTTCATTGTTACACAGTGACATCTGCTTTCTATAAGCTTTAGTTGTGTTGTTATGTTTGTTTTATGTTTATTGATCAAACTGCCCTGAGAATATTTATATTGAAGGTGGTGAATAAATTAATTCACCTCAACTGCAGCTGGACATCTTATGCAGGGAAATTCCACAAGATGGCAGTGGTCTCTGCAGAAGATACTCTAGTTATTACAGCTGCTACATAAAGTGCTCCCTCTCTCTGCATTTTTATAATTAAAGCTATTACCGCTTTTTTTAATTAAACAATGTAGAAGCATGAGCAGACTGAAGTAGACACCTCAGGCACTATATTTTAGGCACCAAATTTTTATTATCAATATTTTTATCATTAAAAGTCTCTATTTCAGTTTTCTTACTTATGATTCCAAATGTCTGTGATCTTATAAAAGCATTCAGTTTTGTATTTATTTATTAAATTATTTATACTCCACCTCTCAGTCATAAGTTCTGAGAAAGTTTCTGGCAGGATCAAAAACAGCAATCATGTGAGTAGCAAACAAAACAAAATTTTAAATAGCAATGGAATCAACAAGCACTAGGTGCCACTGAAATAATTATAAACTCTTAGGCTACAAACCTAACATTTACAAGCAAGTAAGCCTCATTGAACACAGCAGGGTGTACTTATGAGTAAACCTATATAAAATGCACTGCAGACTAAGAATTTTGTAATGATGTCCCTGGAATCTTTCTGTTTTATTTTAATACTTCATTTTTGGAAAGTTGAAAATAACAAATCTGGATCCGCTTATACTAAGGGTGGTCTCCTAGCATTACAGATGTAAAGATTTGTGTAGCTATTTCATCTTTTTGTCCATAATGAATGTTGTGCTGTAAGCAAAAAGACAGATGTCAGTGCAAAACACAGGAAGATTGTGAGTGGAAGATGGTGGGCTCTGCCCCTCACCACACCCCCAATAACATTCTATGAATGGGGCAAAGTGATGGCATCATAAAAGCTTTGTCTGGAAATGCTCTTAGAGTAGACCTAGTGAAATCAAAGGGACGAATTTCTCATGATTTTACTGGGTTTATTTCAAGTTTGTCACACTCTGGACCCAACCTTATGAGCACTGCAATTTATGCAGAAGCAAACCACAAGGTGATTTAAAATGTGTCTGGTCTTGGATCAACTGGAGAAAGCTTGTAAGCCAGAATATGGTAAGGTAAAAAAGACAGAAATAGTCCTGTGCAGTTCAGAGTTTTCAGCCTTATCTCTCTTTGGTTCAGGAGGAAAAGAAGCTAAGTATGGCATGAATGGATTTATGGGAAATGGATACAGAGGTAAGGAACAGAAGGCAGATTCATGTATCTTTCATAATTTTGGGCTGTTGCCCAGCCTTGCTGGACACATCACCTGCCCCCATATCCTGTCCCAACCCAAATTTTCATGGAATAATTAGTAGTCATATCTTCCCCACAAACTTATCCAGGTTTAAAACGTTTACTCTCTCTTTCCTGAGAGCCCCATGACCTGTGGTTATGTGAAAGGGCTAAATAGAATGCTTGAGCACTCTATAAAGGGATGGTTTCCAGGATCCTATGGAGAATGCTTTGACAGTTATCCATGCTGTGGCTAGATGATTTTAGACCCTGAATTTTCATCTTAGAGGGGTGAGTGCAGGGGTGGGGAGGGTTAGGTGACTATGAAGCACACAAATAATATTCACTACTTTTTTCACATGTTTTTCCATCCCTGATTTAAGGACTTCTAGGTTTACATTTTGAACTTGTTTAAATCATAGCACCACCACAACTGAATGCCTGGTTTCCTATCTGATCATTTGGTGAATACGGCAAATATTCACACCAATAATATTAGTATTAACAGTATTAGTGTTATCATAATACTATTGGTTAAGGAGGAGGAGGACAAATAAGAAATGCATGTATTTCTATAAGCTGTTTCTGTAAGCTATTAGGATAGAAAATAAAACCATGATCCCCATGGTTCCTTCATCCTCTTTCCCTTTCTTTTCCAGTTCGCTGCCCTTCTGGAAAATGCTGAGAAACAGTGTTGCTCTGCAGAACTCCCTGCAACAGGATTCCAGCAACCCAGCAATCTTTGGTGCTAAGTCTTGATGACTAACAACAATGAAGTCTTGCATTATAAAGGATCGTGTCTTTTTCTTATTGTGTTTTATTTTATTATTAGAAACATTTAAAAGAAGAAAAAAGTTGCATGTTAGCTTTTAAAAGCCTTGAATAGCACTTTCTCCAACAGCTGCTAGCTCAGCAGTGATCAGTGCTGTAGGCATGTGCCCTGTAAATTCCACTGGAGGCCCAGTGTCTTTGCGATTAAAAAATACATCCACGGTTCTTTCGTGTTGTGTCTTTATTATTCTAGGGAAGGGAAGTATAACTTCTACCAAACAAGCCTTTGTGCTTATTTAAACATCACACCCCATTGCTATGCATTTCTGTCAACCACATGACAGACTGAAACACTTAAGAGCTACTGTTTGTTCAGAATCCAAGGCATATGAGAAGTTAGAAAGATAAGGCATGACATGGATCCATGGGATTATTTACAGCAATTGGGACACAATGAAAAGCAGGAGGTTATGTAAATACAGTACTTGGTTGTCAAACCAGTGATACATGGGAACCCCATATAGTACAATCCAGGCATAGTGGTAATCAGTGTTAGGGTTGCCATGTGTCCTAAGTTAGAGGATAGTCCTTTGGCAACTTTTTAAACAGAGGACAACTCACTGTCTGAAAATGTCCTGAACAAAGGGCTGTCCATGCCAAATCTCATTTAAAATTGAGAAACAGTAAGAAGGGAGTCAAGAACCTGAAGTTGTGATGAGTAGTTATCATCTGGACAGCAGATTGAGGAGGTATACGTGGACTCCAAGGGTTGTTGTCCATGGGGTCATGATAGGTCAAACATGACCGTGCAACTAAACAAAAAACAAAACAAGTCAGTAGATCATAGTCTTCCCCATTAAAGCTGATAAATTTCTGTTTCAATTATGGTAATTGTAATAATATCCATATTTGTATACATTCATATAAATTAGCTTATGCAAGAGTTATGTAAATCACATTGTCCTTTTGGATTTTCTTCTTTTTGGGCCAAGCATAAGTGGCCACCCTGCCTTCCCCACTGCTACATTTCAGTGGTAGTGGGACTTTTCCTTATAACCACCAAAAATTTCTATGACTGCATGTGGCTGTGGGTATGTTAATGACTATAAATTTAGTTTCAGAAATATCAATAACCTTTAAGTGCAAGAAGTTTTACCTACTCAGGAATTAGCATATTCCTTAAAATCAACAGCTTGATATATTGATGAATAAGTTGATGCTGGACATATGAAATTCAAAGAGTAACTGAACATTTAACTATGCATATGGTTGCATTTTCTAAGAATTAAGCATGTTGATTTTTAAAAAATGATTTGGAGTAACTTATATTGATGTGATCTTAGGAAAAGCAAGACTTCAAGTGTATCCCTATTGATTATGTTTTTGGTGATCAGAAACCCCTGAACTCAGAGTTGTTCAATCATCCACTGCAGAACTGGCAGGGGCAATCTTTGCCTCCCTGTCCTCTCACCATGCAGATTTTGCAGACAGACCTTATGGCCCATCCTAGAGAGGGTATTTTGGAAGGGGGAAGGGGGAGGCTAGAAGCAGCTCAGGATAACACGTATCTTGACCTCTCTGTTCTCCTCCCTTCCCTATCCAACAGAATATGCATTCCTTTCCTCCTCCGAGGTCACTCTTCTGAGCTCACAGGGCACCAGCTGTTAGGGGGTAGGAGACAAGACCAGATTTCTAACTCTCCCTTCCAAGGTTGAAGTACTGACCATGGAAGCATCTGAACTTGGAAGCTGGACTTCAAACAATCCTATGGTCCCTGGTACATCCTACCAGGAACCATTGGTTTGTTCTTTAAGTCAGTGATGATGGCCTGTAGCCTGCAGAAGAGGAACTGATAGGGAAAGAAAAAATCCTTCAAATGAATGACGGCTACAATGGTGGTGCCACAGAGAGAGATTTGGATTCAGGGACCACAAGCTAAGGTTTCTGAATGATGAACTATTGGCAAATGATGGACTGCACTTCACAAAGACAGAAAGCACGTGTTTGGCCACTACATGAAAAAAGTTCATCAAGAGGGCTTTAAACTGAGGCATACAGGGCAAGGAGATGTGCAGCATGGCATATCATCACCTGCCAGAAACTTATGTATTTCAACAGAGGAAAAAATCTCAAGCAGGGGCCAACTTCAGTTTCCCAAAAAAATGTAGGCAGAAAACCAGGGCACAACAAGAATTAAATGCTGATGTTTTTACATCAGTGTCCAAAGTATGGGAAACAAGCAATACTTACCTGAGCTCATAGGATACGAGAACTTCCTCCAGCAGAAGGTAGAGGAAAGAACAAGATGATCAGCTCTCCTTGATTTACTCATAATATTAACAGGGATGACCTAGGGGACAAAATAGGAGCCTAGAGAACTCTGGGGAAAGTGACCATGGAATACTTGAATTTTCAGTTATAAAGGAGACAAAGGTTAACTGCAGCCAAACACGCACTCTGGACTTCAAGAAAGCCAATTTTAACGAACTCAGAACGATGATAAGTGAGGGACTAAGGAATCCTCACTGGCCATGAAAGTCACAGGGTAATTTTGAGCAAGTTGTGCCTATTCAGTCTAATCTACCTCAGAGTTGTTTTGAGGCAACTATGTTAGCCATCTTGGCAAAAACGTAGCATATAAATTCTTTGTTGCATGCTGTAGCCATCTCGGACTTACGGCAACCCTACAAATGAATGCCCTCTTAGATATTATTTATTTATTTATTCCGCATTTTAGTCCAGAATCACAGAAAAATAGTAAATATATGGGTGCATTTCCATATCTATAATTTTATACGTCTGATCAGTGTAATCCATACGAATAAATAGGACGAAGGGCCATATAAAGTTTCGGATTGTTTAGACGAAGACTGTGAAAAGATAACATTCTTTGCGAATCTGAAAGCTAGCAGCTAGACTGCGGCTTGAGAATGGCCAGGGTGGGGCTCCTTGGTTGAATGCCAGTTGTCCCAGTGCGCTGTTGACCAAAAACCGGCGGGAGACGACAGCCCCGAAGTCCGGTCACACGTCCTGTCAACCTCCTTCTGAGGCGAGAGCCGCTCGCACCCGCCCGACGGACACGCTTGCTCCACTCCCCCCCCCTTCCCGCCACTTCTGATTGGCTAATCTAAATGGCGGCAAATCAGGGAGAAGACGGAAAGGTAGAAACACTCGCGATCGGGGCGCGCGCGCCGCGGTCCTCCCTTTGCCCAACGTTTTTCCTCGTTGCAACACTGGCCTGCCGCTCGCGCGCCGCGGCTCTGACGTAGCAAGGCGGAAGTGGGCGAGGCCGTTTGGAGTTTTGGCGCGAGAGCGGAGCGTTGGAGGCTTCCGCGGGGGGCTTTGCGCGCGCCCTGGAAGCGCGCGGGAAAGGCTGCGCTGCGCTGCGCTGCGCGACCCACCTGAGGGGAGTCGAGAGGCCGCTGCATCCAGCTACTCATAGCGGGACGGAAGCCAGGCGTTTCATTTTCGCCTTTTCTCCCCAACTCTTTGGGGCTCAGAGGACATTAGGCGGGACAAGGGGGTTGAAGAGGTAAGACTTTCGTCTTTTCCGATCATGAGGGGTGGTGTGGGGAGGTGGTGGTATTGATATTAGTCATGCCAACATCGGGGAGAGACTGGTGCCTAACCACCCCGATGCATTCTGGAAACTATAGCCTATTGTGGTGGCAATATGTTTCTCCTTATGTATGGGAATGTGGTTCTCTTCAACATCCAATATTTTTATGCCACTACCTCTGGAGAAATTGTAGCCAACCAGCCTCCCACGCTCCCTCTTATCCTTCCCGTGCTAGCTTTGTTGGAATTTGATGGAATTGTTTTAGAGGATAGGTCTCAGCCCCAAGGGAGTTACAAACTTAAAAAGAAGACACAAGGGGAGGCAACAGTGTAAGGGAACGGAAATAGAGAAGGAGTCTTGGTAGTTGTAAGTGCAAATAATAAATTATTGTTCCAGATACAGTTACTTAAGCTTAGTTGTGATAGGCAGGGGAGGACAACTTGTAGGCCAAAACATCTACAGGGTTTCAGCTCACATCAGACACAGCAAGCATGGGAAGTGGGGAGAGATGACAGTTATTTCTTTAAAATATTTGTATCTCACCCTTTATAATGTCTCGGGGCAGTGATAAATGAAGAGGACATAATAAACAGAATATAAGTTCTGGTCCTCCAGAGTTTTGAGCATACATGTTGCTTACTTTTGCATGAAGTATGGTATAGGCACTGAAGGGGTTATACCAGAAAGTTGGGCTGAAAATATAGCAATTTTGTATAGTTTGTTTGTTTGCAAGATGCAGGATTATCCTGTGCATTTTTATTCTGAAATAAATTCCATTGTATTCTGTAGGGCTTACTCCTGAGAGAGTGTGTATGGGATTGCAGCCTTCTCTGTTTTTCACATAGAGGTTCCTGCAAGCAAAGAAGTTTTGGTGTAAATCAATACTTTGAAGCTCTGCAAATCTTTCTCTTGGTGCTCCATTTAGTATTTCCTTTTTCTGTGACTCTGCTGACAGCTTTGTTTGCTTCAGTTTGAGTGCCTCCAGAGATTTCAGATTCCAGACTTGTCAGTTTCATCTGAATGTCATGTGGTCTATCAGGGATTGCTAAGGCCATTAGAAACTCCATCACTGTTACTGATGGCTCCAGGACAACTGCAGCAGATGGAGGAAATGCATCTTACCTCAAATGATCCCCAAATGATTGGTGCCTGGAGACAATAGCCCACAGAGCATTGATCTTTTAAGATAGTACTCTCGTGGCAGATTGGAAAGCACAGCAGTTGTTGGAGAGAACCTTAAAATGGGTACTTTTACAAAGGACAAAAATAGTCAGGTCCCTGTTGTAAAACAAGCTACAAAAGAACTGAAAGATACATAAATGATTTGTCTGTAATTAAAAGTGTATTTATACCCAGAGTTGGAAGCTAGAAATGGAGCTATCTGCTTATATCACAAGCAACACTAAGAATGTCTTTTACTTTCCAAATAGTGTTTTTGCTTATCATGGAAGAGATACTACTTTGAACTGAATGTATGCTTCAGGTCTATACGATTCTTCCATTTATGTTACACCTGGAGAAAAGCTTCCATTGTGGAGCAAGCCTTTTAATTACAGTTCATATCAATTATCAATCTGTGAAGGGTTCTATTCTCTCCACACAACTTTGGGGTCTTATATCAGTGCCATCAGGCACCATCCTGAAAATACTTGCCATTTTATATTTACCTTTTCCTATTGCCCACCCATCCTGCGACTGGTGGTTTTTAAAGCCTTTTGCAACCAAGCACCAGAGAAACTAAATGTTTTACAGTTTTGATAATGAGAGAAGTTTCCTTGTAAATGATTGTACATTCTCCTTTCAGATATGCCTGTACCTCTTGATTGTGCAGGGGCTGACTCCCAGTTGAGCCACACTCCTCTGCCAGTGCCTGCCTTCTTTCGAGAAGCAGAATGCAGCTTTTCAGTTAAGAGGGCCCGCCAGCCACTCAGCTATACTGTCCCTCCACGGCCACGTCAAAAGAGCACACTGTCAGTGAGCCGGATTTTCTCTGATCGCCGACTGCAGCCATGGACTAAACTCCAACCACGCAGTGTTTCCTTCCATGGTACACAGAAGCAACCACCATCACCCCTGCATAGCTGCCTGTATGATGCTTCCAAAAGAGAATTGTTTTTCAGGCAGTGTTTCCAACAGCTCAGCCGTCTGGGGCGGGGATCTTTTGGTGAAGTGTACAAGGTAGGGAAGTGGCAGAGGAGATATTCATCTCTTGGAGGCAACAATTACTTCTCACATGCTGGCTGGGATTTGTGAGAGTCATGGTTGAGATATCTAGTGGACATCAGGTTGGAGAAGGCTGACACACAGTTCAGGAATTTTCTACCACAAGATGGGATGGGTTTATAAAAGGAATATAAAAACCCATGAAAGTTATGTCTGTCAGTGACTATAATCTGTTAAATAGAACCTCCATGTTTACAAATGGTCTGCCTCTGAATACTAGTTGCTTGGAAGGAGGCTGTGGGCATAATGTCTTGCTTCTGGGCTTCTTCAAGTGGCAAGCCACTGTGAGAATACTGAGCTAGTCCAGCCTTTTCTAGTTTGGTGTCCTCCAGGTATTTTGGATTGGAAGTCCCAGCATTCCTGATTATTGGCCATCCTGTCTGGAGCTGATAGGAGTTGGTCTAGTATATGTGTAAGGTACAAGGGTGGGGAAAGCTGGAGTCAGACCCTTGGCTGGATGCAGTGGAGTTCTTCACGTGTCTGAGAGTAATTTTTGTGATCTAAAATGTGGTGTCTGTTCTATACTCTCCCCTTGTAATTTATTTTGTTCCTCAAGTGAATAGTCTGAAGCACATCTTCAGTATCTACTACAGATATTTATATGCTCTTAAGTTTGGCTGCCTCACCAATTAGAACTAGTAAACATTTATGAAGTTTCATTATAATTTGCATAATGTGAAATGAACCATCACTCTTTGTCAGAGAATCTTCATGTTCTTGGCACAACATAGTGCCACTCCTGTTTTGGGGTTTTGGGTTCCTGGGTCATGTTCTTGGGCTGAGAGTTCTTCTGTGAAATGGCTGTGATTTCCTCAACAGTGTGTGGGATTTAGAAGTTACTACATTCTTTTATAGGTACGCTGCAAGGAGAATGGTCAGTTGTATGCAGTAAAACGTTCTGTGGAACCATTCCGAGGCAAGAGTGACAGGCAGCGCAAATTAGCTGAGGTGCGCAAGCATGAACGTGTGGGGCACCATCCCAATTGTGTGAGCTTCGTGCAGGCCTGGGAGGAGCGTGGGCAGCTCTACATCCAGACAGAGTTGTGCCCAAGCAGCTTGTTGCAGTACTGTGAGGAAAATGGACCGCTGCCCGAATGGCAGGTACGGGCCTTCCTCTGGGACTTGTTGCAGGGCCTGCATCACTTACACAGTCGAAACCTTTTGCACATGGATGTCAAGCCAGCTAACATCTTCCTCTCATCTAGCAACAGCTGTAAACTGGGTGACTTTGGGCTCATGCTGGAACTGGACTCTGGGGATCTGAGTGATGCTCAAGAAGGCGATCCCCGCTACATGGCCCCTGAGTTGCTCTGTGGAGAATACACCAAGGCTGCTGATGTCTTCAGGTGTGGGGTGAGATGGGAAGGAGGGGGAGCTAAGCTTTCTGGAGCCTAAGATGACCACCAGCTGCTCACTTGTGGCTATTGCTCCCCTCCCTTAAAGTTTAGCTTGCAGTGGGTGTTAGAAGTGGGTACAACAGATCATGTGTACTGTGCTGCGCTTTTTCTTGATCTGTGTTTTTCTGCCTTTCCAGCCTTGGCATAACCATCTTAGAGATTTCCTCTAATATGGAGCTCCCCAACGGGGGTGAAGGCTGGCAGCAGCTGCGACAGGGCTATGTGCCTCCTGAGTTTACTGCAGGTGAGCAGGAATAAAAGGGATGTTATAGAATGCATCCAGTGCAGGGGCTCTCCTGTTAATCCCCATGGGAAGGAGGCAGACTGAAAAATGTATACTGAAATCAGAAGGGCTGAAAGAAAGAGCTGATGATGTGGAAAATTGAGTGTGCTGCAGAAACCAAGGTGAGCAATTGAACATTCTGGCTATTTCTAGGTCTTTCTGCTGAGCTACGTACTCTACTAGCTTCTATGTTGGAGCCCACCCATCAGCTCCGGCCCTCTGTGGAGATGCTGCTTGGTTCCAGTCTCATGCAGAAGACTGAGAGATGGCGGAAGCTGATGCTTCTAGCACAATCTGGAATCCAGCAAGGTGTTTCTATGTGCAAGGTGAGCATGGCCTCCACAGGCAGGGCCACCATACTATACATATACATACAATCTGCAGTTCCTCTTGGGTGTACACTCCCTACAGCTCTTCCAAGTCACCCTCTTCCTTGGACTGTGATAATGCATGCAAGCCTTTTCTGTTTCAACTGCAGGCACCTTCTTGGTAGGGATGTTTCTTAGTTTTCTTGTGAAATAATTTGAATAAACCAGTTCTATGCTTCTCAGTGAGTGCCAGAGCCTGCCATAGTTTGGCAGAAAGGCTTTGATGGCATGCTGGCCCCCTGGGTGTTGTTTCTTGTTCTATGTGCTACATCCATTTGAGGTAATGCCACTGATCAACACCAGAGTTCTGAAACTTTCAAAGTAAAATTGAAAAAGAAACATTATGCTATTGCCAGTTTAGGAATGTAACTCATGAACACTTGCTCTGCTGCACCCATTGCTTCACTCAGCAGAACTCTATGTGTAATTCTTCCTTTCTACTCATTCCAGACATTATTCAGATTCATGCAGTGGCTCTGGGCAACTGTGTGCATTCCAGCTAACTGGCTGCTATTTTGGCATCATAATGTTCCAGTAACACCTCCACATTCACCCTTCATTCTTCCCCTCGAAGACAGCAGCCTATCTAGTGACTGGGGGGAAGAGGAAGAAGAGAGTCTTGGTGAGGATATCTTTGAGATAACAGACACACATGGGCATCACAATCATACTTGCCCTGTAAAGCTCCAGTCCTCAGACAAGTAAGTGGGAGAGATTTTGAGAGTTACAAGGCATGGTAACTCTTTTATTGCCTTATTTTGAGTCTGTAATGTGCCAGAAACAAAAAGCAGGTGGTAACAGTGTTCTTCATGCCAAAGATAACTCTGTATCTTTTTAAAGTCTGGTAGACTAATCCACCTGTCTGAAGCAAGTGAACTGTCTGACTACCTGGGAATTCCCCCTCAGAAATTCATTTTAGCCAGTCTGCTGTGGGGAACTAATTCCTGATACTTTCCTACTGCAATGGACTTAATGGCTGGACCCTATTCTCCCCAACATTCTTCCTTGATAAACTATTTAGTTCCTTAGCAAGGAACATCTAAAATTGTGGCAGTGGGCAGGTTCACATGATTAGGGGGAAGGTAAGAGTGGCTTCCATACATGCCAATTGTGGGCTGCCAATTAACATAATTGCCCTTGCTGGGCATGGCTTACGATGTCATCTGAACCTGGTAAACTTGGGTGGTTGGGTAGCTTAAACTGAGTTTTGGTTTGGTTTGTAAATACCTAGTAGGTAACCATTTTTCTTGATACTATTCCCCCCACCTGTAGTCAATGTATGGACATCATTAACTCATGCTGTTCCATTTCTGAAGTATTGGTGAAGGTTGTTTCAGAATCTTTGTAGCAATCTTAGGATTGCCTCTGCAATTTAAACAAAGATGTTCTATTGTCCAGTCTTAATCCTACTGATTTTTGCATAGCTGTCTTGTTTTTAACCATGCTATGCAGTCTTTTAATTATCCTGATAAAATAGCTACCTAGTCCTGTTCATTCAAGCTGCTCTTCTTTGTACTTGATCCTCTTTGCAGTCTACTTTCACAAAGGTGGGTAGTAAAAACTTTTTCCTTGAGGATAATTCCTTTTGTATACCTGCAGAGGAAGGATGAGGAACCTGCTATAGGTTCTGAAAGGGAGGTGAGCAAGTTACTGGTGTTATTCTATTAGGGGTGCCTACAGGCCACTTCTTTGTTCAAGTTTGCATGTGCATATAGTCAACGGAAGAAACCCTTCTGCCAGCATGCTTCTGCCAGCTCCATGAGATTAAAGTTAAAACTGACAGTTTTTAAGTGCAGATATCTTATAGTAGTTGCTTGCCTTTCAGACTAACTGGTTCCCCTCTGCTGAACATACCGCCATGTGCCGGAAGCACTTCCACACCACGGCACCCCTCACCACAGCAGACTGTTGGCACAAAGAACAGGTGAGCTATTGGTCAAAGGGTAGCTACAGGGATATTGCAACTGAACTTTTGGAGGTTTACCTACAACTACACTGTCAAGCTACGAAGTGACATCCTGACTTGCTAACATGTCAGCAGGCTAATTTTCCTCTCTATAAACATGTGCCCTGCTTTGATAGTGTAAAAGGTACAATTTTCTGATCCTTCAGGGGTGGTCAAAACTTCTTTGTGGTGAGGCTGAAGCTCACCAGATCACAGTGAGGCTGCCCAACTGTTTTTTGACATCCCATTTTTTTGTTGATTCCTCACAGGTCTTTGGGGCTTCGAGGCAGCCCCAACATCAGCTGCATCCGCTCAGAGTCCCCAAGCAGCAGCCCCACTTCATCATACTCATTGTCTGTGAATAGGCTGTGCCGCACACTAGCATTTGAAGAGGAGGAGGAGGAATGGGAAGTAGTTGTTCCCCAGTGCTTGAGTCAGTGCTCTACTTTTGAACCAAAAAACCTACTGAGTTTGTTTGAGGACTCCATAGTATCTGAGCAGAAGTGTCAGAGCTGACGAGATCTTTGTTTCTTTACTTACTGGTTTGCTTGGCCTCCTTCATGGGCGCACGAAGGAGCTCCTCCCTTTAAACTTTCCGCATGTGGCAATAATCAGTATGCTTAGAGGGGCTGGACTGCAATATTAAGTTAAATCTAGCAAGTTGGAGGCAGACCTCTACAATGATGCTGTTTTGATATCCAGATTCTTACCTTAGAGCAGTTTCTGCTGGCAGGTAATGGAAAGCAAGCATATGGTATTCTCTGAGGTTGTTTGAAGGGAAAGTGGTCCCTCTGCTATATTGGGATGAGGGTTGAATATAATGTACATTTTCTTTTGAAATGTTGTCCCCTCCTGTTTACCTGCCAGGAACATGCTGCCATGTGTGGATTGGGAAACAGAGGCTATTAATTTTCTCTCTTCCATTTGGGGATTTTATAAAGGTGGCAGCTGTACAATTTGACAATAAATGCAATTAGAAATTTCTATTGAACCGTGTGTGTGCTTTTTTAAAAAAAGTGACTTGATGTATAGCCCATGTTAGCTTATGCAGGCAAAGAGCAACGTGAGATAGTTATACAAAACCACATCAAAGTGCCTTGAAATCAGGGCCTGCATATAACTTGCTCTGGAGGAAACTCATATAAATTGACTGTATTTTTTAAAAAACACAAATGAAAGAAACCTTGACAGGGCAGTTTGTGAATCATTTCTCTGTAATACAGAGAAGTGTTTGAATAGCATTCATAGCAGCTATGAAACTGATACATCTCCAAAACATAAGTTTTTGAAGTAACTTACTAGCTAATAATATTTAGTAGATTTGATTCCTTCAATATTTTCCCTTAAAAATATATATATTGTGCAACCTAAATAGGGAGAGAAGCAAGAGATGTTTTGATGTTTCATAGAATTGGCCTGTAACAGTTTTCTCTGATCAGCTACCCTCCAGATATTTTGGACTGCAGTTTCCATCATATTGACTATGCAGTGTGACTAATTGACTAAGCTGGGGCTGATGGGAGATCCAGTCCAAAACACTTGATGGGACACAAGTTGTTCATCCATGTACTGCAGTTGCAAGACTACTTGAACTCTGCAAGGCTTGTTTCCAGGTCAGCATATGTAAGATTGGACTGCATGGGCCCCTCCCTTTTCCTTAGAGGCAAGGACACAAAGACAACACAAGGACTAGTTGTTTTCAGAAAGATAATAACGTGTGTGCAAACTGAAATAATTTCACTTATTTGCACATGAAATTTGTGTGGTTTGGTTCTGTACAGAATTAATTTCTGTAGGAAAATTCAAGCCTGCCTGAATGCAGATCACCCCAATACAGAGGAAACTTACCACCATTCCACTAACCTATAAGGTGAGAATAATCTTCAAATACTATAGCTGATTTAGCCTTTTATGTTTTGGTTGCTATGTTGTAGCAGAGGTGTGTTAAATTTCTACCCAAACTTGGGAGTTCAGAGATTAATCTCAAGTATTTGTGGCCTTAGAACAAAAGTGGCATCTGGATATGTCAGGTGAGACTAGGAAGAAAGGAATCTAACCATAACCCACCAAGGGTCTGGAACATCAAACCAACCATGAAATGATAAAATAATTGAATTGTACAGTTAAATGATGAACTGAACTATAATTCCATTGCTTTTAATAAATTGTAATCTCATGATCCTCCTAAGCATTTGCCTGTGGCCAGGCAGAGTTAACACGTGTGTGTGTGTGTGTGTTTAAAAAGCACATATTGAAAAATATACCTGACTTCAACATTAGAGCCACATTCCATAACTTAGAGCATCGGAATAGGAAGTCAGTGTTTAGCCCTTCAGCCACTGGTCATGCTTTCCAGTAACTCAGGATGGGGAAGCTGTTGCCCCTCCTATGTTGTTGGACTCAGCAACTTCTATCAAACCCAGGGATAGCAGGAGTTGCAAGCAACGTGATCTGAAGGACTGCAGACTTCCTGTCTGTGCAGGCACTGATTTAAGTTTAGAGCCCATCCATGATCGAAGCTCTTTGGTTTCTATTACTTAAGTGGAAGGTGCTGGATTTAAATCTGGTTGGTTATCCTACATGATGGTTACACCCTTTTCCACCTGGTTGTCCTAGTATTTGGAACTTCAAAAGAACAGACATACCACTGTGTATGACAGGCCATGAGAAAGACTGGCTTTCCTTAGACATCTCTTTTTATTAGTAGCCCAAACCTAATCATTTGCCAACAGAAGGTTCTGGACCTTAAGCACCAACAGTTCCCTTCTCTCCCCCATTTACGAAGTGCATTTGTTAAAAATTTGGTGCCTTGCTCACCTATTTTAAAGATATGTAGCTTCAGCCCAAAGAAGCTGCGAACATTAACCATGTCCGTCTACCCTGAGATAATAAGAGACAAGACTGGGCTGGCAGTAGGTGAAACCCCAGCCCAAAATAGCAGCACAGAAAAGATGCTTCACACCCCAATGTGGGAATCTTAAGTCAGTCCTCCTCTCTTCCTACTAGGGACCTGCTCATACCCTCAATGCATCCTCCCACTGAATTTGCAGAATATAATCTGTGGCAAAGAAACAAAAGGCCTAAGCCCTGTATTTCCCTTACTGAGGCTGAAACTTTTAAACCTTACAATAATTGCTTCCAAGATCCTCGCCACTCCCATTTTATCAGTTTACTGTAAGATGTAACTGACAGTTCCAAGTTTTTATCCAACATTTCAATTCCTTGCTCTAAAGAATAAGATCTAAACTAATGTGACATGAATTTACAGGTCTTCCCTTGACTCCAAAATCAACCTCAGGCACCTGTGAGTTGAGGTGGAGTTGTTCAGCCCTTTTGATGAACTTGGGGCTGCAGCCACATTTAGTTACACTCGCCAGTAGACCCACTGAAAACAATAAAGCAAGTTAAATTTTGACTGATTTCAATAAATCTAATTATGATTAAATCTGGATCCAACCCTGGTTGCTTTTCTGCTCAAAGTTATAGCTTCCCCATACCCCTATCTTCCAATGGGGGGAAATGGAGGGTGGGGGGTAAATTTCTATTACCTGTTCTATCATTCACGGAAAAATGCAACTATAAGACATATGCTGTTTGTCCTGGAATCAGAAGAAAATCCAGATAGACTTGGTTTACTACATACTGAAAACTAGTCTTCAGGATGGATCATCAGAATAGTTTTTGCACATGCTCTGTTGCTCGGCCACTTATACAATATGGTTTAAGTTGGCACTGTGCAGAAAACAGAATCCCCACTATGGGAGGGGGCTAGCATTTTCTACAGCCGGCCACATTCTTGTAACTTAGCTAATGCATTAGCTGGATTTAAATTAAAATGTACAAGAGTCACCAAATATGGATTTGGGTAGCTGATTTTCATCAGCTCATTTAGGTGTGTTCCCTTGAAGCCAAATAAAACTCCATGGGGTGATTTTTAGAGCTGCCATAAAAAAAGCTCCAGCTGAAGGACTTTCACATAAAAGGCAAAACCACACCACAACCCCCAAGAGTCCAGATGCTGAAGAGTGCTAGGGCCATTATGTCAAACAAACAAACAAACAAACAAATGATGGTTTATCTTGGCCTCACTTGCACTGAGTACCTAAATTATTGGTCAGCTGATGAAGAGTCCTTGGCCAAATTTAGGCACCTAAGGGGAATGTCTGGCTTTCCAGTTCCTAACCACTGGGGCAAGATAGGAGCGCAAAGGATAAGAACTTGCCGCAATATTATTGGGACTCAGCCTTTTACCTCTGACTATTTTCTGAAAACAGCCCACCCAAAAAGCTAGTTATAGTCCATTGACCCAATTAAAAACAGTGTTTCTGCTTCAGAATAAAGGAACTGGTGATTCCATTTATACCAAAAGAAAAGAACTCAAAGTGAGATCTTCAGCACAGGCCAGCTGGACCATTCAAGAGGCAAGTGAAGGAAGTGAACTGAAATTTGGAATAAGGATAACTCCTATGCAACAAAGGGCAGTAAGAAAGGGAAAGAGAGCAGCAGCTCATTTGTATTTTAGTTATTAGTACAGTTGCAGCAGCAACAGCTAATGATAAGGTGCTCTCCAAATCCATGCTAAAGTAAGCTCTGGAAGCACCCACTCTTGCTTAAATATAGTTGTGGAAGCAGTAAGGAAAAAGTCCAACCCAAGAAATGTCATTCTAGGTTGATCCCCAGATACCTCCACCAGGAGACAAATGGAAAACTGAGGTGTGCTGTGAAGGAGCCATGGTTCCAAATTTGGTGAAAACCAGAAGGGGAAACCTGAACTCAACTTCCACCCTAATTCAGTTTCAAGGCCCCTAATTAGCCCTCTGGTGGAGTGGTGGTAGGGAAAGCTGGTTTAGTGCTTCAAGTCATTTCAGAGCAAATTAAATGTATTTTGAGCATCACTTCTGTAATAAACTGGCTGACTGCACTGAACTCATTTCTTTCTACAAGGTCCTTATCACCACCACTCTGTGCAGTAGACCTTGATATCCAGGTGTCTAAACCAGCCCTTTAAAAAATAAGAAAATATTGCATGGTGTCTGAAAGATTCCTGGATAAAAAATCTATTTAAATAACTTGTCCCTATAAAGCAGAGAAGCTGTACTCAAAACAAGTGTCCTCTACTAAATCCCTCTTCTCTCAGTGCATAAATCACCAAACAAGGTGAAAGAGATGTCCAAACAATGGTGTTCTCCTCAACCACCACCAAAGCCAATGGAAGTCTAGCTCTGATGACGCAAAGGCCTATAGCCAACAAGAATTGATGCAAAAGACTGAAGGTAATGAAGAACCTTCACTAGTGCAACTGACGACTCCCTGCAAGTTTTAAGACAGTAGGTCACCAAGCCAAACTATTTCTTAACCTTTCTGGCTCATCCCCAGCCACTATGGTGGTAATTCGGAAGAACACCTCTAGCTAATCTAGAAGTACTTCAGCCAATGGAAATCCATTGTTATAAAACCCAAAAGTACCAAATCCTGTATGTTTGTGTGTGTGTTGATCCATAAATATTCAACCTATGGGAAAGTGTAATCCCAGAAAATGCCCTATTCTAAATAGGCTTTCTCCAAGATATACACATGTACTTCCTTGTCTGCTTCAGCCCTTGTAGAAGACTTTGAACAATGAGAACTTATGGCCCACACCTCAGAAGTCACCCACTTCTCGATCAATAGGGTTCTTCTGCAAAGGTGCAGAGGCTGTCATTCCATTGGGCAGACATAGTTGCCAATCCACTGTAGATCAGCCACTACTCCCCAGTGGAGATAGAGGATGCTGACCACCACCAGCACGTGCATGATCTGATGACTGTTGAACCAGTAGTCAAAACGGCCCGGCTTCCAGCGCTCAGGCACTCTTGAGATGTTGATGACACCACCAAGAAAGGCCAAGCCGTCCATTATGAGGTATGAACGCAAAGAGGAAGGGTGGCCAGTGCCCAGTCCCACCCAGCGCAGGTAGAAGAAGAAGAAGCGGAACAAGGCCTGCCAGGCAAAGGACTGCAGACGCCGGACGCTGGAGCGGGCAGTCACTGCACAGAAGATGCCATAGCTTGACAAGCCACTGTAGGATAACAGGGCAACAGTGCGGAGAAATGGTGCGCAGGCCAGCGTGCAGTAGATGATTGGCAGAGCACCTGCGGGAAGGAGACACCATCAATTTGTTATATTTCCACTACACCTGAGACTTAATGTTCTCTGAGCAGATTTCAAACCGCTAAAACAATAAAATGCTATATAACACAAAATACAATATGAATATCTAAAAGAGTAAAATACAAAATAATGCTAAACAATAAATAGCACAGGAGCCGTGCAACTGCCATACTGAGTTAGAACTAAGTTTCTAAAATGCCTGAAATAAAGAAAACAAAAGAAAGGTCTTTTCTTCCCACAAGACTGTCCCTCCATCAAATAATTACCCAGAAAAGCAAATGGTAATCACAGTTTGTTTGCCCACTTTCTAGTGCTCTAGAGATTTGTGCTATCTTCCACATCATCTCAGGGACAGCTGTTGACTCTCCAGACACCTCTGTTCTCCCTCTTCCCCCTTCTCATATTTTTCCCCAGGATTTCTCTAACTTTCACTTCAGCCTTTTACCATGCACAGGAAATTCAATTTATCATATATCCCCCTCCCCAGCAAGGATTGCAAGCCACTTCCATCTCCAATTCCAGTTCCAGTCCAATTGTGTTCCCAACACAAGCTCTGCTTGCAGACAGTCCCAGATTCAATTCCTGACAACTCCGTATCAACCTGTCAGGTCTTCAAGCTCACTTTTGGAGGCATTATTTACTGGCCCAGCACTAAGTCAGCTTGGCAGGCACTAGAAAGGGCCTTCTCAGTGGTGGCCCTCCCCGATGGAATTCCTTCCCCACATAGATATGACTGGCTGCCTCCCTTTTAAAGAAATCTTTAAAAACTCATCTTTCTGGCTTTTCGTTGAGAACAGTTATCACAGTTCAATATTTGAAGCTGTATGTTATTTCAAGCAGCTTCTTAAAAAATAGAAACCCTTATGAGTTAAGGTGCTTTGGTAATTTTATATTACTGTCATATATTGTAAGGCGCCTTGGGAACAGTACAGTCTTGACAGGAAGGGAAGAAATATATTAAATAAAGAAAGAACCAGTTAAAAGTCAAGTGGCAAGCGATATGAAAGGCCTGAGCCAGAGAGCTTTGTGAGCTGGTACCAACCTAGTACATGTTACAAGACTCAATGCGCCTCTGTTCTGACTTGGTACAAAAAAACCTTCCTAATTTGCATGTATTGCAGGATTTGGGCCTGTTCCAGGATCTACTTTCTGAGCTAGTTGTCATTCATTCAACTACTTCCCCAATCCCATCAGTAGAAGTAATATGGCACTCTACGTTTTCAGATATTCTGCCCCACTTCTCACACATTTTCTCCACATTACCCCCCCCAGTCAACAAGTCCCCATAAACTGGGCAGGGGGACTCTTTTAACTCACCCAAGGTGTTAACCATGCATACTCCACACATATCAAGGGTCAGCAAGGTACGGTAGACTGCAGGGCCGCCCTCGTGGTTCATGAAGAGGTGGTAAAGCACGCTGCCCAGCTGTGGAAAGATACAAGCCAGGTAATGCACAATTCCCAGCCATGATACTGAGAGTCGGGCCCATGGAATGGTCAGTGGGAGCACGAAGAGACACGCCAACAGAGGGATTCCTGAGCAAAAAGGAAAAAAAGTAGAGTCAAGTCTCTAACTAGGGACAGAAAGGGAAATTGTCCCTCGTCTTGCAATCTACTGAATTCCTACATTGTGCATCAATCGAAAAGTTCTCCCCCATGCATTTTTCTCTAGTTTTAGATCCATAACATCCCCACCACACACACACACAGCTCTCAGCCCCTGTTCCTGCCACGCAGCTGGCACAGAATGGAGTCCAAAGACACTTCGTAGACCATCAAATCAGCACCCCCAAATGCATCAAAAAGCACATTTTGCGCTGAGAAAAATCTGATGCACTGAACACCCTTTGATAGAGTTTATCTAATCTCCTCTTGCTGAGTACCACTCATGAAACTTTTGGCAAGACCTGTCCTGGTGCCCTAACATAGACAGAAGAGGAACAAGAAAAGTAAGAGAAATACCAATGGCAATAAAATGGTCTTCGGGGAAGCTACAAGCTCCTCAGAAGAGCACATATGACAACAGAGACAGCCGGAGTTAGTGTAGAACCTGCATGCAATTTCCATATTATGGAAACTCGTAATATGTGTGCCTCTTTAAGGCACACTTAAAGAGAAGAGAATTCAAAGAGCCATCCTGGAAGCATGTGGAATCTGGGGCCTGCCAGATGTTGTTTGAATTTAACTCCCATCAGACCCAGTTATATAGCCCATGGTAAAAGAATGATGGAAATTGCAGTCTAACGACTAAGAAGGAGAATGTAACATTCCTTCCAATGCAGTGCAGACTGGATTCCTTTTTCTCCTCCCCAAAGTGCAACAACTCCATCACTAGTGAATGCAGCCACCCCTCTTAGTCCTAACTCTCCCCTTTTCCAATTCTCTATTCCCCTGGAGGTTGCAGCTTTACACAAACAGATTACATCTCCCAGAGCCCAATTACTGTGCTAATTGAGGCTGCCTGAAGCCAAATCTCAATTAGGAAGGTGATAAACACCCCCTTGGAGTTCATTAAGAAGCCAGAAATTCTCTTTGAGAGAGAAACAGAAGTGAAATCGAGGAGAGGCTGAGTCGGGAGGGAGTCTCATGAGGCCTGTCTCTTCGCCCAGAGCGATGCTACCACCCACAAGGCTGGCCAACAGTTTTTCCCCCTAAGGAAAGCTGCTTAAACAGATGCACAGCAAGCAGAAATTCTCTCGTCAAACTCCTCGTCCTAATTCAAAATAGTTACACTTCTTTTACTAGGTAAAATCTTGCCCCTCTTGCCACCTCTGCCTGACACATGTTAAAAGCATGGAGCTTCAAAGGAAGCATGGGGCTTACAGAAAAAAAAAGCGGGCAGAGGGGAGACAAGGCAGCCTAACAGGACTGAGCCACTTTACTGCTCTAGACTCGCCTCTTCATTTTTTTTCCTTTTTCCTTGGAATGGATGAAGCTGAGAAATGCAATGGGTGCTGCTCTATTTGCTTAGCGCAACTCCCTGACACAAAATACAAAAAGGCACCCACCTCTCTTGAATTTTATGCCATGCAATTAGCAAAGATGCAAAGCTCAGGCCAGGAAAGGAGAGCCAAACCTTAAACCCATTAGCCATCCAAAGTGGGACAAAGAATGCGGCTTTCTCTGCTGCTCTGTGAAAAGCTGCTGTGTATGTGAGAGGAAACGTATGAAGCTGCCTTGCACCAAGATTGGGGACTCTCGGTCTGAGCTCCAGTTTGATTTAGAAGCAGCTCTGGAGGCACTCCAATCTTGTGAGGGGCAGAACAAAAGATAAAGATAGGCCAAAAATCCACAAACTGCCAGCTCCTTGTAGTTTAAAAGACTTACTGCCAGTAACTTGAGCCCTAGGAAAGACACTTTTACTTTCAGAATGGGAAGGGAGGGGGACGCAAAAGCCAGGGACCCACCAAACAACCAGGGGTTGGAGGGAAAGGATGAGGCCAGCAAAGGCGTATGGACTGGAGGGCTGGATAAGGTGCCCAGGAGATCCAGATTTGGTCTCTAAGCCAGAGGTTGCCCATCTTGCTTTACACAAAGCTAGACTGCTAGTTTATCTATCCCAGCATTGGCAATCCTGAGTAGCAGAAACCCTCCAAGGACACAGGAAGATCAAGCTGCTCCTCAAGATCTTTTAACAGTGAAATTGCAAGGGATGGAGCATAGGCCCTTTGGCCCAGAGAGCATTTTTATGCTAGAACCTCTCACTCCTGTAAAGGGACCACAGGACCTGGTTTCATGCAGTAGTAGGATAAGGGTGAGGGAGAGGACTTGCTGGTTCCCAAGCGGGATGTGATGCCTCCAGCCCACCATGGCCCCTGTTCCCCAAAAGGGAGGGGGAATGGCAAGCAACTTAACAGAACAAATAAAACCCAAGAGCTAACATTTATCTAGCAGAGAAGGGAGAGGAGTATTTCAAAGGCATACTTTCCAGAGTAGATGCCCTGTAAAGACTGTTGCAGAAAAACAGCCATTTTGTGGTATCTCTGAGACTAAGAAATTGATTACGAGGAAAAACTTTCAAGGGCTACAGCCCCTTTCATCAGATGTGCATGACATGGAACTCAGGATAACACTTCATACTTCTTGAGGAAATCAACTGTAGTCCACAAAAGCTCATAGCACAATAAATTTGCTCACCTTTAAGGTATTACAAGATGCATTGTTATCCCATAGAAAAGCACATTTGTGTGTGGCCAAGTGGGAGGAGGAGGACAGAGCCCAGAAATTATCAGTCTCCAAAGGGTGGGGTTCCGTCTCAACCGCTTATCTGGTTGCACAGTCTGGGGCTTTAAGGTAGCTGCGTGCCCCAGTTGTGTACATTGGTGAAGCAGCTCGCAAATCAACAATGGGAGGATGGAAGGTTGGTTTTAGTCCCCATCTTCTTTCAGAATTCCTTAAAGCTGGGAATAATGGGAATTGCAGTCCAACACCTCCAGAGGGCCTCAGGTCACAGAAAGCTGCTTGAAATGTCCTCTCCTTTTCTCTTCACAGTCTCCCAGTGTGCCCCTTCCTTGTCCACCAGCTTCCGGTCTCCTCAAAATTCCCTGCCCTACCTGAGTTTCCAACATGTTGCCAGAAGGTTGCGATTACATTTTGTTTCCACGCTTCTTCAAAGTGCAGCATGGCTCTTGCTGGCACCCCACCAATATCCTTACAATAACCCTGAAGCAGGTGAGGTGCGAAAAAGGTGCTTCACTCCCAAGGTAATCCAGTGAGCTTCATGGATGAGGGTTATGGAGTGGAATGCAGGCCTTCCTTGGTATAGACCGTCCTGGACTGTGAAACCTCCATGACTGTGCCACCCTTACAGACCATCCCAAAAAGAGAAGGGCTTGTACCTGTGAAAATCTATGGCAGCCTTCCCCAACCCTGCACCTTCCAGACAGGTTTGGACTACAACACCCAGAACACCCAGTCAGTGGCCCTGCTGGATGGGAATTCTGGGCGTTGTGGTCCAAATACCCCTGAAGGTCACCAAGTTGGGGAACAATGATCTATGGCAGTGGTGGCGAACCTATGACACGCGTGCCACAGCCGGCACACAGAGCCCTCTCTGTTGGCATGCGAGCCCAGTCGCCCCAGCATCACCCCAGCAACCAAGCATCAGATAACAGTGCACACAGGTGCCATGTGCATGCTCAGAAAGGAGTAGTGCCGCCAGGCGATGACGTCATGAGCCGCGACTCATTAGGCTTGACTCGTCCAAGCTTTCGCATGGCCAGTCAGTGCACTGCCAAGGTTATATGCAGGTGGCGCAGTGGCTTAAACCGCTGTGCTGCCAGGCTGGTTGATCAAAAGGTCGCCGGTTCGACTCTGCACAACGGGGTGAGTTCCCGTTGCTCCGTCCCAGCTCCTGCCAACCTTGCAGTTCGAAAGCATTTTATCTACTAAAAAAGGTGCCTCTTCAGTGGGCAGGTAACAGCATTCTGTGCACTTCAGTGTTTAGTCATGCCGGCCAAATGACCATGGAGACTGTCTGTGGACAAACACTGGCTCCCTCTGCTAGGAAATGGAGATGAGCACTGCCCCCTAGAGTCAGGCATGACTGGACTTAATGTCAAGGGAAACCTTTACCTTTATATACACACACACACACACACACACACACACACACACACACACACACACGTGCTTGGATAGGCTGTGAATTGTTTTTTCTAAACCAAACCCTCAGTTTTCAGGTTTTATTGCATTGTTGGCACTTTGTAATAAATAAGTGGGTTTTGGGTTGCAGTTTGGGCACTCGGTCTCTAAAAGGTTCACCATCACTGGGTTAGCGTTAGAAAAATGAGATGTCCTGGCATGATTTTGATGGTTGGAATGTGTTTAGAGTGGGCAGAAATGATGAGCTGTGCAGAAAAAGCTACTCAAGCAAGGCTTTTTCAAAATCGCCCTCTTTTCAATGGAACTTTAGCCCTGTATTAGGATTAGGGTTAGAAAAATGAGATGTTCTGGCACGATTTTGATGGTTGGAATGTGTTTAGAGTGGGCAGAAATGATGAGCAGTGCAGAAAAAGCTATTCAAGGAAGGCTTTTTCAAAATCGCCCTCTTTTCAATGGAACTTTAGCCCTGTATTAGGATTAGGGTTAGAAAAATGAGATGTCCTGGCACGATTTTCATGGTTGGAATGTGTTTAGAGTGGGCAGAAATGATGAGCTGTGCAGAAAAAGCTACTCAAGGAAGGCTTTTTCAAAATTGCATTATTTTCAATGGAACTTTAGCCCTGTATTAGGGTTAGGGGTGTGCATCAGGTTAGGGTTAGGGTTAGAAAAACGAGGTGTCCTGGCATGGTTTTGATGGTTGGAATGTGTTAAGAGTGGGCAGAAATGATGAGCAGTGCAGAAAAAGCTACTCAAGGAAGGCTTTTTCAAAATTGCCCCCTTTTCAATGGAACTTTCACCCTATATTAGGGTTACGGGAGTGCACCAGTGTAGGGTTGGGGCAGTGGTCGTGACTCATTAGCCGTGACTCATCCGAGCTTTCACATGGCCAGTCAGTGCGCTGCTAAGGATATATATTTGCTTGGACTGGCTGT